AAAGCGACATTAAAAATTTTTCAAAAATTGCTAGTCTTCTGGACTACAAAAATGTTCCACACTTTAATGTTAAAACGCTTGTATATAGGTTTAATGCTCCTGGTCATGTGTATTTCAAGACTCGTTTTACAGATATTTATAAAGACGCACGGCTGTCTAATCCAAAAAACACTCAATCATCAGGAAGTAATCTTGAAGAATCATCAATTCCATTGGCATCTTGTTTTCGACAAAATATTGAAATTTCTAGTTAGAAGATAAAAGACATTGTTTCTATGTATCCTTACATGCCAGCTGTAGATGTTTTGCATTTAAACTGTTCTTAACTTGTTGTTTGTATTAAAGATATTTATTTTTTATTTTCAATAAATCTTTTTAGATAAAAGTAATTTTATTATAAATAATATAGTTTTGGTTAAAATCAGTTTGTTAAAACTGAAGCTGTCCATCCTACCAGAAGCAATATATCTAGAAAACTTATTAAATGACCATATCCATTTAAATTTGCCAACTAAGTGTTTTAGGGTCTAAATTCTGGAGAGCCATCTGATTCATCTAACTACCGTCCCATTAGTCTTCTTCCTGTCATAAGCAAGGTTTTTGAATCTTTAATCAACAAACACTTAATCTCTCATCTTGAATCAAATAACTTACTTTCTGATCATCAATATGGATTTCGGTCTTCTCGTTCTACAGCTGATGTGCTAACAGTAATAACCGATAGATTTTACCGTGCATTAGATAGAGGTGGAGAGGTTAAGGCTATCGCACTTGACATTTCTAAAGCTTTTGATAAAGTTTGGCATGCTGGTCTTCTCCATAAGCTTTCTTCTTATGGTGTAGCTGGTAACATCTTTAAGATTATTGAGTCCTTTCTTTCCAATCGTAATATAAAAGTTGTCCTCGATGGACAACACTCTTCTTCACATCCTGTAACTTCAGGGGTTCCTCAAGGTTCAATCCTTGGCCCTATACTCTTTTTAATTTACATTAACGATCTTCCAGATATTCTCACATCTAAGGTGGCATTATTCGCTGACGACACTACCATTTACTCTTGTCATGATAAGAAGCCTACACTCTCTGATTGCTTGGAGGGGGTATCTGAGCTTGAAAAGGATCTCACTTCTGCTACAGCATGGGGCTCACAGTGGCTGGTGAACTTTAATTCAGATAAAACTCAATTTTATTTGGCCAATCGTTATCATAATAATTTAGATCTTCCTATATTTATGAATGGTAATGTACTAGATGAGTCATCTACCATTCATCTTCTAGGATTAACTCTTACTTCTGATCTTTCTTTTAAACCGTATATCAAATCCATTGCAAAATTAGCATCTGCTAAGGTTGCATCTCTTTATCGAGCTCGACACTTTCTTACTCCAGATTCTATTCTCTATCTCTATAAATCTCAAATCCGTCCCTGTATGGAATACTGTTGCCACATCTGGGGCGGATCTTCTAATGATGCTCTTTCTCTTTTAGACAAGGTGCAAAAACGAATTGTAAACATAGTTGGACCTGCTCTGGCAGCCAATCTACAACCTTTGTCACATCGTCGTAATGTTGCTTCTCTTTCTCTTTTCTACAAATACTATAATGGGCACTGCTCTAAAGAGCTAGCGTCCCTTGTGCCATCTACTAAAATTCATTCTCGTGTTACTCGCCATTCAATTAAGTCTCATCCTTTTTCTGTGACTGTTCCTAAGTGCTTTAAAAACTCTTATTCTTCTAGTTTTTTTCCTCGAACATCAGTTCTTTGGAATTCGCTTCCTTCATCTTGCTTTCCTGATTCATATAATTTGCAATCTTTTAAGTCATTAGTCAATCGTCATCTTGCTCTACAGATTTAGTCTTTTCTCTTCCAGTAACTTCCAACTCTTATAGTGGTTGCTTGCAGCCTTGTTGGAAGTGAAGATGTTAAAAAAAAAAAAAAAAAAAAAAAAAAATTTGCTTTTAAATTTCTAAATTAAAAGTAATTTCTTGTAATCCATAAACTCCTCGCAAAATATTCAGGAATATTTACTAAAAAATGGAGATAGCACAAAATAATATTAACGCAAAATTAAAATTTAAAAGTTATTTTGTTCTCCAAACAGGGTGGGGCCATAATAGCGACTTGAGCAAAAAAATTTTTTTTCACAACAAGTAATTATAATGAGTATATAGTCAAGTATTAAATTGCATTATTTAAAAATATATTGCCACTTCTGCTGGATTGCAGTGTAAAACTTCAACTTGATTTATCTCAGTTTAAACAAATGGAGAGTTAAAACAAAATAATTCTAACCTGACATTGTGTTACCATAAGGATGAAAATAATTTTTATTTAATTTAAGTTGATTTTACTGTGTTTTTAAAAAAGAAGCAAGATGTTTGGATTAAAGAATCAAAGTGTTCCTATTTAGAAAACCATTGCTTTGATTGCAACAAAATGGTACATTGACAAAACAGAATTTATTTCCAATAACAGTGAAATCAATTAAGTAAAATTATGGTTAAAAATAGGTTTTTCTGTTTGTATTAATCAAACCGTAAATGTTTTTTTTAAATAAGCAAACTTTGGTTAAACAAATATTTATTCTCTAGGTTAAGTTTTCTAATGCAGCAATTAAACCAAATTTTTATTAAACGAAAAATTACCCCTTTATATTTTTAACAAGTTAACCTTAATAATTAAATTTTTTTAAGTTCAACTTATGGGCGTTATAAAAAGAGGTTTGGGTATAAGTAAGTAGAGAGGAAGCAGCTTCAGGAAAAAATGGTTGAGATAGAGGTAAAAAAAACTTGTAAAGAATGCATTACATATGGTATGACTGAACTTTAGTTAAGGATAAAAGATGCTCGAGATGTTTATATTTGAGAAACAGAATAAAATGGGAAGGCTAAGGCTTGATGACAATTATGATGATGATGATGGTTATGATAATAATGATATCATATATAAATATACATGCATATATAAGTATAAAACAAAAATAAATTTCGAAAAATAAAAAAATACTTTAAGATGTATCAATGTTTAGTACAAACCCGGCCCTAGTTATTTTTTATCAAATCTGGCCCTAGGGTCAGCCTTGGTCAAATTTCAAATTTCAAAAATGACTGGCATTAAAATTTAACTGAGGCTGTCTTTTTTTTTAGTATTTAGGGTCAGTTTGCAAAGTTTAGAATTGACATGGTTAGTAAATTTACTAGCCATGTCAAGTTTAAATTTTGCAAACCGACCTTTAATACTAAAAAAAAAAGTTTTTTCAAAAGTATATCATGTTGGTTCTCAAAAAGTGAAATTATATAAAAACTTTAAAAACAATCATTTAATAAAAAAATAAATATTTTAGATTTAACTGTGTAAAAAATGACATTTTTTAAACTAAAAACGATTTTACGATTTTTTATAATATGATTATTATTTAGTTTTTTGGCATTTAGGGTCAAGTTGCAAAGTTTAGAATTGATGTGGCCCCTCTAAACCCAATTACATAGTGGAAAAATTTAACCGAGTTACTTGTGAGAACCAATAAAAAGTTTTAAAGTAACAGATCTTTTTTTGAAAGTAGGGGGCATTGTAATATATATATATATATATATATATATATATATATATATATATATATATATATATATATATATATATATATATATATATATATATATATATATATATATATATATATATATATATATATATTAAGTAGTAGAAAATCACTTAGCAAAAATTTTTTTTCATTTAACACTGTGTTTCATCAATGAAGACTCACCAGAAATGAATGATCAAATTAATAAAACTTCAATTTATATGTCATAACTACTGTAAATTTTCACACATTTTTGGAATATGCTGACACTATTATAAAAAGAACTTTTTAGAATTGATTGCTTCTGCTTTTTTTTAAAAATATTTTTTAAAAGTAGGGATTTAATGTAACTATTATTTGAGCTTACTTATTTTTATAGTTTTTAGGAGAAACTTATTTTTGTGCCTGCATTTAGAAATTAATTTTGATTTTTTGTTTAATAAACATTCTTGGTTCGCACGTGTAATAATTCCAAATTTTTCTTGTAGGCATAGTATGCATTTTTTGAAAATACTGTTATATGCAGGCGCTGTTTTAAGGATGGACCAATTCATTATAAAATCATCAATATTTTTATATTTTAATTTCTATATATATTTAGACAGCATGGTGTTTTTTGAATACTTTTTATTTCTAAAGGATTACTTATGATTGGCAAAACGTTTTTTCCATTCATTCTCTGTTATGCCAATATATTGTTTATCAGGTACATTCTTAGAGGAAACAAAACATTTATATACCAAATTTTTGGGTAAAAAACTTCCACTCATTGGACAATTATTTTTTTGTTTACAATTACTATTTTCTGCAGTTTTTTCATTTAGGATTTCTTTTTTGTTTAACAAAGCATTATTGTGACCTTTTATAATTCATTCCATATTTTTTGTGCAACTGTAGCTTACTTTAATTGTATTTCGATTAAAAATTTTATGTAATTCATTAGAGGGCGGGAAATGCTTATTGACTAATTTTAAAAACACTTTACCTATGTTAGTGAAAACATTTTTGCTATATGGGGGAGGGAGGGGGGTTGAACCAAATTATATTTCTAGTTCTATTTCACTTTTTTGTATTCTTTTTTTCAGGGTCAAATTTCAGTTAAAAATTTTCAAAACCACTTTTTTAAGGGCATCTTCAAATTAGAATATGTAAGACCCAATTAAAACAAATCTAAAAGAAAACTCGGTCACTCCTTCATTCATTTAATTAGATTTATTATTATTTTTTTAATTATCTAGATTTGGGTGTCAAAATCTGCAGAATATGTTAGTATCGTGCATAACTAAATACCCTGCAGTATAAATAAAAACCCATATAATTTTTTACTACTAAAGTCAACACAAAATAGTTTTAATAGTAGTAGTTAGTAGTACAATTTATAAGATATCAAAAATATTTAAAAATATTTAAACTTTTTACTTCTTCTGGGTTTTCAATTTGCTTCTCAACTTGCTGTACATTAACATATTGAGATGTGTTTGACTTCTTAGCTGGAAGGACTGGAATTTCCTCTTCATTTTCACCCTCATCATCTTCTTGCACTGACTCAGGGGTGTGTATTGCTAAGTCAGGATGCATATAACGAACAGGTTTTGGAGGAGGCGGTGGTGTATCAGATAAATTAGGAAAAGAAATTTGAGGTTTTTTAGGTAACGCAGGTGGTAGATCTTCATCTGATAAAGGTACAGCAAGAGGTGACACAGGCAATGATTTTGGAGGGAGAGAAGCAAATACCTATATAATAAGAAATTAAGAATATCACTATTTATTATACATTTATTTTATACAAATTTTATAACTTATTTTGAAAATGTCTTTAATTTTTAAATAAACTTTTTCTCTGTAAATACCTGGGGAATTGATTCCCTTCTATTTTCATTTTTTTCCCAATTCAAGGATCCATTATAATCAGTAGGGCGATGTTTTTCTGGATATATAGGATTGCGCTGCTCAATTGTTGTAGATCGTTTATGAGGAAAAGATGGAGGCAAAACATTTTTTCTAAATTATTTTTTAAGAAACATAATTTAAACTACAATAAAATAAAGATTATTTATTTGCAAAAAAAAGTTGGCAAATGCATATCTATTTCCTTTATAATATATAAACACAAACACAAAATATACATTATCATGAAAAATATGAAAACATACACATCCTGTAAAAATATGAAAAATAAAACATTAACAATAATCTCAAGTGAATCTAGAATAAGATAAAAATTAAAAACAAAACAAAAGCTATAAACTTTCAATTTTGAACTACATACTTTTCATTTGGCATTTCAGAAGATACTCGCAGTCTAGAAGGTGTATTAATCTAAAAATATAATATCTAAAAATTGACCTGAATTTTAATGTTTAATGTTTATAAGTTTTAATGTTTAATGTTTACAAAGTTAAATGTTTATAAGTTTACATTTCTCTTTTTGTAAGTAAAAAATGCTGAAAAATATGATTAACTAATATAAATCATACATGAATCTTTTTATAAGGAGCTACTTTGGCTTTATTATCTTTGAACACAGACTCCATTTGCTTATGGAATGGTTCTAGTTCTTTTGTAACAAGCTCTTTGTGAATTTTTAAACCTTTTTCACAAATTTCAACCTAAATAAAGCCAAGTTAATACAATCAAAGATAAAATAAAGTGAACCTTTTTTACAATAATAATATTAAAAAATGATAATAATAATAACCTGTTCAACAATAGCTTCTTTTAACATTGCTATCATATCAAGATGCTCTGGATGTTCTGCTATATATGATTTTGTGAAAAACAGCTGAAAGTAACAAAAAAATGTATAACCTTCTAAACATATGTAACATAAAAAAATTTATAAATAATTGTAAACAATCTTCTGTTTCTCATATTATCAACCATAGATTTTTGGTAGGTACCATAAGAACAAGTAGCTTATGGCATTCATCAGGTTTTTACAATGGATTTAAAATATGCAAAGAATTATAATTAAAAACAACAGAAACCTTTTCATAGTTAGATATTCCTCCCATAACAGCAGCATCTATTACACCATTTAGCAACATACTTAGTGGAGAGAGATTTATTGTGCGGTCAGCTTCATATTGGTTTATTACAGTCAAAAGTTCTTTATTCTTTGAATGTAAAGTATCAACAGCATTTTCCATTGGAGAAAGTTCCACCTATGTACAAATTATTTGCTTTGAATTAAATTAAACTAATACATTAAATCATTAAATTAAATGGATTATCTTTTGATATTTAAGAATGAATAATACATTTTTTTATTTCTTTTAAAAAAACACTCTTGAATCTTGACATATTTTGTAGTTGCATACTACAAAATTTTCAAAAGATATAATTTACAATTAAAATTCTGGTATTTAAAATTTAAAACTAAAGCCATTATAATAAATAAAAACTTGTTATAAACCAATAAAAATTATATTACAAACTATGACATGGTAAATAGCCACACACTATAATAATAATAATAATAAGAAAAATAGTATTAAAGTAAACTAGATTGAAAATTTTATGATACAACGTTTATTTATTTAAGGAAGAATTTTTCCTTTTAACATGAAGTGCTTCTTTTATTTTTAATTTGCTTTTAGTAGGAGGAGTATTAAAAATCACAAGTTAGATCTTTACAGTTAAACATATGAATGTTTATAAATATGAAATTGCTTGTCACTTATAAGATGCTCATTTATGATTGTTGTCAAATTTCTGGATTGAGCAGCTTGAAAAGTGGATCTTTTATGCAAAAGCTGTTATGTAATTTATTTGTTATGTAATTTATTAGTAAATATAAATTTAATAATTACATTTTACATATTTTTTAATAATTTTATCAATTTTAATTTTAGTGAAACTTGAGTAAAATAAAAAAAAGCAGAAGCAAAATAAAAAAAAAACAGAAGCATAAAATAGCTTGTGTTAGGATTATCAAAAATATTTATCACAGTTAGTATTAGTAATTGCTGTAACTCGTGTGAGCCAGTGAGTGTGGTATTAACACACTATAACAGCTGATTTGCTTGATTGCTGCTCATCCAGCAATCAAGATCTGCTTTAAAACTCTTAACTATATGCGCGTTAACTAACTCGTTTAAAAAGCTATTCTACAATTTGGCTGATCTATTAAATAAAAAGTTTTCACAACACACTTAGAAATTTCTTTGACATAATTAAGGCGGTTACCTCTTGTTTAAGTTTGTTAAAAAGTAATTTTTTTTAATGATTTGGAAACTTGATTGTTTCCAAATCATTAAAGCCGTTAAAGAATTTAAAAAGTTGAATTTGAATTTGAAAAATTGTCTTCTCTTTTTCTCCTTTTTGTCAAGTCGAAATCTTTTAGACAATTCTCATAGTTGATTTTCTTGAGTGGTATTAATCGGCCATTTCAAATAAGTGAACAAACTGGTACTGCAAACTCTAACAGTGGTTGCACAAAAGAAACATAAAGTATTCTCAGGAGAATATCTAAACAAACAAAAACTCTAACAGTAGTTGCACAAACAAACAAAAACTTAAAATCAAAATCTGATTGCAAAAAAAAGTTGATGATTTTTTTTTTTCAAAATTTTGGTGTCATCTGCATACAGCTTGGTTATGTTTTTTAGAGTTTCAGGCATATAGTTTATAAATAGCACAAACAAGAATGGTCCAATTACTGACCCCTGTAGCACACCACTGATAATTTCTGCCCAAGAGGATATATTTCCGCTTATCAAAACTCTCTTTTAAAAACGGTTCAATCCATTGTATTGTCAGATCAGATATTCCATGAGTTGTTAGTTTAAGCAACGATCATGTGGCATTGTGTCAAATACCCTGGCAAAATCCAAAAAAACAACATTAACGGGTTTACCATTCTCTAGGGCGGTTGAAATAAAATCTTTTCAAGTAGATTTGTTGATCATGATTTATTTTTAACAAAATTGTGCTGTTGTTTGACTATTAGTTTGATCTTATCTAGAAAAATTTCAAGTTTACATCTGATTATGCCTTTCATTATTTTAAATGCAATCGAAGTGAGTGACATTGGTCAGTAGTTTCCTGCTAAAAATATTTTGCCTTTTTTGAACAGAGGAGTGCTATTTGCTGATCTAAATTGCACTGGCAGTTTGCTGGTTTCAAACATAAAGTATATGTAAGTGGAATGGTTTGTTTTCTGCCTTTTTTAATCTTAGATGGACATCTTCATATAAGTTTTTTAATCATAGATGGACATCTTCATATGTAAACTTCATCTTCATTTGTCTTAATGAAAGTTTCAGTAGTTCTTAAATCAAAAGAAGGCAGTATGATTTAACTTTTTTATTAAAATTTAGTTTAATTTAATTAAAATATAATTTTTTGATTTAAAAGTAGTTGAATTAATTTAAAATATAATTTGATTTTGGTTTCAACAAATTTTTGTAGAAATTTATTATTTTATAAAACTAAAGAAATATTTTTTATGTCCAAATCAAATCCAAGCCATGTATTTAATGAAATAATATTAAATCCAAGCCATGTATTGTCAATTTTGCACGCACAATCAATTTAAAGGTTTAAATTAAAAGGTTTAAAAAATTGGTATGTAAGAAGGAACAATTATTAACCTATGTTTACTCATGAAACCTGATAAACATGTTGGATAAAACTGGTGCTAAAGGAGAATTCATTGGAATGCAATCTAATTAATCATGATATGTTGAAACCTGAAGTATTTTTTTGAAATGAGTTTTAAAAAAATATTTTAAACTAGCTACCTATCTATTAAATATTAATATTCGATTTAATGCTGTTGTCACCCATTCGTGGGTGTTTAATATGGAACTTGCAGCAGCCATTAAAGTTGATTAATAGCTGTTGTTGAGTACTTTTTTTAATTAGAAAACATGGCTACATCTAACTAATGTAAATTTAAAAATATGTAAATGTAAGTTTACTTTAATGTTTCCAGTTTTACTTTTAAAGTATTTTTCAATAAAGTTGAGTTCATGTAAGGAAAATACAATAGAATTATAGAATAGTTTTGTTTTGCATTTTAAGAAATATAAAAGTTTTGAAAAAAGCAAGCAGAGGATTTAAACTTCTATAAACTCTATAGCTCTATTCTTTTTTTCTAGTCCCAAATTAATAGTTGTTGCTTCCAGCCTTGTTGAGAGTAAATAAAAAAATTTAATTAAAAAAAAAAATCGATTAAAATAGTATTGTAGTTCCTTTCATTTTTTCCTTGAACATCAGTTCTTTGAAATTCGCTCCCTTCTTCTTGTTTTCCCGATTCATATAATTTGCAATGTCTAAACTTCATCTTTTCTTTTTCAGTAACTTCCAACTCTTCAACAGTGGTTGCTTGCAGCCTTGTTGGAAGTGAAGTGGTTGAAAAAGTAATTACTATGAGTTACTAAATTTTATATTTTCCACACGTTAAGTTTTGTTTTGTAGATGATGTATTGAAATTGGATTTTCTTTATCTTAAATGGCTGTTTAACTTTAAAGAAGCTAGCAATGAACTTATTTAAAATATAAGTAAGTGGTTTATTTATTTTTTGTTGGTTTTATATAACTTTATTTGAAATTTATTATGTTGACCATAAGTTTATAGTTTAAAAAAAAGTTTATTTAGTTCCAACTGAGGTAATAATAGCTTTATCTTTTGATCACACTACAATGTTTGCTTGCACTGGTAATAATTTTGTTTTTGCTAATTTGTGTAGTAGCTTATTGTTTTTGCAATGAGTGTTTTTCAGATTTTCAATATTTTTAAAACATCTCTAGAAATTAATGCAATATTCTATAATAATAATTGTGTCATTCTATTTTAATGAGAACTTGCAAAATCTGCCCATTAAAAAAATGATATAAATGTTCAACTTACTATAAATACATGTTGGGGTTTCTGTACATTTATTTAGGAAGTTCTTAAATGTATTTATAATCTTTTTGATACCACAGTCAATAATGTATAATGAGTCCTATGAGCTTTTTCAACAGAATTTATTTGCTCATGACTTTATATTATGTTGTTTTACAACCAAATCTTTACGGTGGTGTTCCTCAATATCTTCATTAATATGTATATATCTGCTTAATGAGATTTAAGATCGAAATGTGTTAGTTATATCATAGTTTGATGAAATCTGTCAATGTAATTTATTAATAGGTAAACCTTATTTCAAAACTAAAATAAATAAAGGAGATGTAAGGTAATAAATTATTTCAATCTTAGCCTGTCAAACCATCTTTTTTGTAGAAAACGTGTTAAATTGTTGTGGAAATAGTCACTAAATACTAATTAGTATTAGTGATGATGTTTTTTTAAGTATAAATAAGCCTCATTCCATTTTTTAACAACTTAAGTTTTGTTAAATTAGATAGTCAAGCATCAATAACAACAACAGATATATTGATTTTTATTTTTTACATGTAATGTGTTCTTTCATCATATCATATTTGCTTTTTTTTCATTTTAGATAATTTACTGATCATTGCAAGATAAATGTCTTGCAATGCTTCTTCAGCATATTGCAGAAGAAGCATCTTATAAGGCACATAGGGCGTAGGCCTAATTTTGGGGCCAATTCTCCTTCCTTTTATTGAGAGATTGGCCCCCTTAGAAGATAAAATATGTGGAAAGAGAGTGGTGGGAAAATATTTTGTTTCATCTATAAATAGTATTTTTGTAGTTTTCCAATTTGTAAATGTAGTTAAATATCTTAAAAAAATTTTTTTTTTGTTATTTGATCTTTAATTTTTAAAAAATCTTTTTTGTTCTTTTTTATAGATAAGAATTAGTATTGTTTTGTTTGTAAATCAATTTTGTTGAAAAGATATATTTTCTTTTTTCTTAATAATTAATACTATTTTTATTGTGAAAAATTATATTTTATCCATTTTTTTCTAACATTTATTAATTTCTTATAATTGCTAATTTTCTGATAATTCCTAATAATTGTAAATAAGTATATAAACTTAACTTAAGTAGGTAAACATGCACTTTTATTTTGCATTATATATTTTTTTTGATAAGCTCTTCTTAAATTAAAATTTTGATTACTTTTAATCAAAACCTTCTTGCATGCCGAAATAACGTAATGGGGAGGGGTTAGTAGTGGAAAGGTCTAAACTTTATTATAAATATAAAATTTGAAAAACACTGGGATAAATCTCAAAGTTGTTATCCGTGTTAGAGATTATGTAAGTTTGTGCATCTAACATTAAAGAGACAAATTTCTTTCATAAAGTAGGAAAATGTTACATTCAAACCTTTTTTTGAAATAAATAGGGAGAGGTTTCAAATAAACTCTAAGTATGCAAAAAAGATATTGCATACCTTCTCCACAGGTTTACTATAAGATATTTTCAGGTTTGAAACTTATGCTGTTAAGGCAAAGCCTAGATTTTCAAATGAATATTTTTCTACAATTAACTAAAAAAAAATTGAAGTAACAAGACCCTATAAAAAATAAGTATTGAGATCTGGGTGGAAGTTATATCATGACTTATATTCTACAGGCCTGAATAGCTAGTATTTATAACTTCTTCAAGTGGAATATTTGTAAATAAGCTTTCAATATCATAAGAAACTATAAATTTGTTTGTTATATAAACATTTTTTAATTCTTCAACAAAAGAAAATGAGTCAAAAATGAAAAAACGTTTTGGTAAATAAAGAGACAATAAATCAGAAAGAAATAATATGTCCTAATTAATGAAACAATTGGTCAAATTGGAAGTCAAATTATTTTTTGACTATTTACCATGTCATAATTGGTGATATGGTTTTTATTTGTTTTTAACAAGTTATTTGTTCGTTGTTTTTTCTCTGTAATGATTTTAGTTTTAAATTTTTTATAGCAGAGTTTACATTTTGAATTATATCTTTTGAAAATATAGTATGTAATATATGTAACTAAAAAACATGTCAAGATTAAAGAATATTGTGTTTTTCTTATATTTACACATTTTTTGCTAACTAGGCAATTGATATATATATATATATATATATATATATATATATATATATATATATATATATATATATATATATATATAATATACAATATAATTTATAATAGTTTATTAAAACTAATAAATTAAATTAAAATTAAATAATTTTAAAAACTAATTATAAACTTTGTTTTCAATTTGTTCGATTGAAAACAAATGAGATAAAAGAAGCGTATGAGTAAAACCACTGAGCATGAAGCTCTTTAAGTGATATGAAAGCATATTAAAATAAAAGTAAGGTGCTTTAATTTCAACTTAAAATTAAACTAAAATATTATATTAAAATATTTGTTATTAGTTATTGTTATTAAGTCATGATGGATTTCAAATCACTATTTTACATAATAGTCAACAACCTGGTGTAAACAAAAACTTAATTTTGTCAATCTTTGTGTTTCAACCAATGTATGTACATTTATTTTTCAGCAAACGTATGTTAAAATCATGTTACTAATTTATTTCAAAAAATTTATTTATTTTCAAGTTAAACAAAATGCCTAACAAAAGTATTTCAAAACCTGTATTTTTGAATTTAAACATTATTTTTGCTGCTATGTTTTTATAATTTTTCATCATCTTTTCAATAAGTTGATGAAATTACTAAACCTATTAGGTTACTATGGAGGCTAAAAATAGCCAAACTTTAGGTTACTATGGAGACTACAAACAAGCCAAACTTTAGATTACTATGGAGGCAACAAACAAGGCAAACTTTAGGTTATTATGGAGGCTACAAATAAGTCCAACTCAGACCTGAGAATAAGTAATTGTAGAAATAATTGTAAGTAACAAAAAAATAAACTTATTGTTTGAAACCAACCAACAAATAGTTAAAGTAAAAACAGGAAATTAAATAAATAACTTTTTATTATAAAAATCTAAACTTTAGAAAAAAAAAGGACTTACAGTGTTTGAACTAGTAACTTCAAACCAACGAAGCTTTCCAGGAAAACTATATTCTGTATTCATTGTTGTTCTTTCAATCCAAAGTGTCTAAAATAAATATTTTATGAAACCTGATCATATTTTCTTAGATTTTCTACTTCTATTTTCATGATGTCTATTTTTTTTTATGTTACTGATTTTAATAATAAGTATAGAATGAAAAAAAAAACCTCAAAAAGTACTAGCGCCTAACAACTACTTTAAAAAATCCCTAATAAAGCAAAACCTACTGCAAATTCATTGTCTTTGTCCTTAACACCTTTATGAAATGGTCGATTTAATGCAAAAGCACTGACATCATTTACTTCATAAAATCTAAATACAAAAATATTCTTTTATGTTTGCAAAACAAAATAAAGAAATTCTGTCAATGCAAAACTTTAAAAAACCACAAAAATTTAAATAAAGACATACAAAACAAAAATACTATTATTTTGCATTTTTATAATTTCACTTTTTTTCAATCAAAATTTTTAGGAAAAATTTTTTTTTTAAATTATATGGGAAAGTAATATAAATAAGAAAAAAAAAATCTGCAAAACGATGGCATCAATCCACTCAAAAATTCTCTTGCAAAGCAATCCATCAAGTTCTTTGAAATTAAAATAAAATCCTTACTATTGTACACACGTATAAAAAAAGTTCGAAATAAAAGTTTCGAAATAAATAACTATTTATGATTTTAGAGAAATCTTAATTTAAAGATTTCAGATAATCTATCTGCCAAATTAGAAAAGCTAATGACCAGTTTAAACTTTTCTGGATAATGGTAAAAATAGACACTAATGTCACCTATAAGTGTCATTACTTATAAAAAAATAATATAGATGCAAAAGCCACAGTACATGTTCTGCTTTACATTATAGATGTCTAATGAAAGATTTTGAAAAGATATGAAAACTAAAAGTAATTGTGCTCAACTTACAATTACCTTTATGAAGACAGCTTTAAATTAAATTTAGGTTAACTTAAAAAATTTAAACAAAAAATGTTGCACAACATTTCTACATCTATTAGAAACCAAGCTATAGACTATATTCTATTGGATACTAGAGTTAATGGTTGTTTACAATCACAATCAATAAATACATTTCAAAACTTTTTTATTTAAAATTTTAAAACCAACTTAAGTATTGAAAACTTAAGAAAATGCAAGTAGTTACTTATATTCTTTTATACAATACTAATTAATCATTTCTCATTAATTATAATTAAAATATAAATTAGCTTATCAATAATAACAAAATAGTAAACAAAACAAAATAGTAATAAAATAAATGTAAAATAAAAATATAAAATTAGGTAAAAAATAGAAATTTAAATAAATAAAAAAAACAAGTAAAAAAAGTTACAGCTTGTCATCTGCTTTGCAGCTCCAAAAAGAGGGAAAATGAGTGAAAAAAAGAATGTTAAAAAAAAAAATGAGTGAAATAAATATTTTTTTTGTGTTACAAAACTTATTGCTGACTTGAAGGTTCACATTTATTACGAAAATATTGTTTTTGGGTTGCAAAACTTATTGCTGATTTAAAAGTACACATTTACTGTACATGGTACATTATGTTTTGTTGTTATAAAAAACTGTTTTAGAAATGGTTTTTTTACAATTATATGAATGCTGTTCTTTTACTTTGAAAAAATTAAAACAAAAACAAACTAAATTACTTTTTAATTTGGTCAACAATTGGTTTTCCCTGAAACTTTCTTCGTTCAACAGGTTTTGGGTCCACTTTACATACTTGAATTGCTGTAATACAAAAACTATTAATATTAAATATTAATTTATGTAAAATATTTTTTCTTATTCTTGTTTAAGTAAATCATAATAAAATATTACATTGACCAATCGATTCAGTGATTTCAGGACCTGGTGCTTCTAAAGTTTTAAGAAACTAAAATGAAACATTAATTTTTTCTTATAATAGCAAAATAGCTGCACGTAAAACATCACTAATGGCAACATAATATAATATCAAAATTACAAACAAATAATACAACATAAAGTATAAATAAAAAAAATTATCAAAAATAACTAAAATGTAATAATAATAACAAAAATAATAAAAAAACTTCAAATCTTTTTGGTTGTTGTTTTTTGTATTTCTTTGGAAAAAAAAATTTAATGTGCATTTATAAGAACTATATATAAATTTTTGTACATTGAATGTATAAAATTAAACAAAACAAAACACATCAACCTTAGCTATCAAAAGTGGACATGGTTAATGGGTAGAATGTGGCAAAATATATAAAAAATAACAAGCTACATATTTTGATCACCCTAAAAAATTCATAATTATAATGGTCACATGTTCATTAACAGATATATTTATTTAAACAACTCATTTAATAATTATGCATAAATTTGATTAAACATTTTGTACTTAAATTATAAACTTTCTTATTTGACTGTTTAAAATTTTTTTAAAATATGTCTTCAATTTTATTTTGTTTGGTGTATGGCAGTTATACATTCAATTTTATGATTTTTATAAGTTTCTAATTTTTTTTTTTCCGACAAAGCTGAAAAGTTGTATTTGTTCCATTTGTCTAGTTTATGACAACTTAGCTATGTTCAGGAGAGCATTAAAAATAATTGTATAAATCAACTGTAGACTTTCTGAATTATTTTTTGATATAATCTCATAAGATGGGCAAGCAAAAATGCAGTTGATGCATTTCTTATATTTCTCTGCTATCTAGCCACACTAGTAGATATAAATCTAGAAGAAATTCAAAGAACCCATTAAAAGTGTCAGACCATAAAATATAATCAGTTTTGATAATATAAAAAAATACATTTGTTTTGTTATATTATCTTTTATTATTATATTGTAATAATTAGTATTACTAATAAAACAAGAGTTTCTTTGGTTATTTAAATTAATTAAAACAACTTTTATAGTGAAAAAAAACAACAAAAACAACTTATTTTGATTAAAAAAACTTGAACTAACTTATAAATAAAAAATTTAAAGAAAATCTTTATAAAAAAAGAATTGTCTAAGTTTGCCAGAAGATGCACAAAATTTAATCTAATGATAGAATTTCTACAAGACTGCTCTTTTTTAGAGGCTTTTTATCAGAAAAAATGAGACAAACCTGTTTCTATTGCGTTGATAGATACAGAAAATGTCTATCTTTAGAAATGAATAATTCACTGATTCAACGGACCTTGGACCCTGGATTCAGTTTGAATATAAATTCACATCCAACTAAACCTTAAAGAATCTGCAAGACAAATTTATATTTTAAACAAAAAGAAAAGGGTATCAATAGAGCTGTGAAGATTTCCTAATCGAATGTCCGTCATAAAGTTAAAAAATTTTTAAATTGATGACTTTATGAAAAAGTTAGAACAAGATGACAATTGATTTTGTGCTTTTTGTTGCCTGGGCAACAAGATACAAGAAAAGGTCATAAACTTCTGTTGTACACCAGTACAAATAGAAAACTTGCAACATGAGGAAATTTACTATGTTATGCAATATCTCTTATGTTAAAATGTTCAGAAAACAATCATTTATAAAGCAGATGAGAAAAATTAATGTGGTAGTGTAGTGGTAGAGTACTCCCCTCATAAGCAAGAACTTCTAAGTTTGATCCCTACCATGTCCCTGGTATTACTGGTAGTAGTGCTCAACTTGTTTCTCTGCACATCGGCCTTGGTTGCCAAGGTTTGTGTTTCGGAGTTAAAAAGTTGAGAGAGGGATATAACCACAAATAAGTAGCCTTCTTGTTTGTAGTGGCTTTCTCCGCCATGGGGAGTTGAAAAAAAAGTGAAACCATCTTGAACTGGACTAGTAATCATAAGTTTAAAAATCCAGGAAATTGAATCTTCTTAATTCTGTTAATTGCCTTGGTATTGATGGAATACAGAGATCAACAACAAACCAGAAGTACGCTGGGATTAACAAGGTATATATAATATTAGGTAATGGTAAGATAATATTAGGCATAGTTCAAAATATAGAGGGAAGCCATCATAAAGTGAAACAACATTTTCTACAACTCAACTCATTGAAGTTTATCTATGACTCTGTCTTTAAACTCATCAACATTATTCTTGGATTATTTGTACCTTACTTTTTTATCTTGACTTAGAACCCAATATAGATTTAAACAACACTTAACAAATTGTTTTCTAAAATACAGGGTCACTGTTAAAAACACTTATCTTGCTATTGTGATGAGCCAACTAATCCATGCCTGCTAGATACAAAATTGACTAAAAATATTAGCAACATAACTCCATTATCTGAACATCATCTTAATAAATACCAAGCAACAAAAATTGTTGATATCTTCTTCACTGATAAAAAAAAAACTGAAAAACATTATAGCCTGATGATATTTTTCTTGAAAAGAAAAATATCATCTAGAATAGTGGTAATTCATTTTCTAATTGAGTATTTAGGGTGGATTAAAACCCTGAGGCTTGAAGAAAGCAATTCATTTTTTTTTAAATTTGTTTCACGCTATTCAAAATTGGTTTTTTATTTCAATTTATTATCAATTTTAATGTTCGGCTGACTGACCCAGTCTACATATTGTCAAGAATCAAATATGTTAGTACTTTTATTTTCAAGTTAATATTAGGTTACCCTTAGTTTGACTGCTGAATACAGTTTTGAGATAAAACTTGATACATTTTACAAAGAGAAAACAGATTTGAGGAGCCCATCCTTCATTTGAAACTGTGTGTCTACAATGTATTTGCAAAGAATTCATTTGGATTGAAGTTTTACATAATCAGATTCTATTTTAAGAGATATCTTGATAAGCAGAAAATCCAGCTCAGAACAAAGATCTAAAGTAGTAAAAATGCAGAAAAAAGATCTGAAGTAGTGCATAAAAAAATGCAGCTCAGAACAAAGGTCTAAAGTGATAAAAACCTAAACAAAACACTGAAAAGGTTTGCTGCGTTTAAGAAAAAGTTCTATCATGGTAAGAAACATGAATCAAGAACTAGCATTGTTCAATGAGATGGTCAAAAAATATCAAGGATTTATTTATATTGAATAATACAATATCTTTTTTTTAAATATTATATTTAAACTGCTATTTGTGACATTTTCCTGAATTTTCAACTTATCCTTAAATAAGCTCAAAGTTTATAACTTCAAAGTTTATCAAAATACATTTTGGCATTCAAAAGATACATTTATATAAAATTTAAAACCTTTCATATTTTGGACCTTTTTCCATTATTAAAAAATTAACCTTGGTTTTGATAAATATAAAAAAAACAGTATTATCAAATCCAATTTAAATAAATGTGTAAGAAATTATGACTATGACTAAGTAACTTATAAAAATTACTAAAAAAGCTTACATATATAACACAACGATCAAAACTTTTTTAAATAAACTTTAACTTATAAAAATTAGAAATACTAAAAAAGCTTACATATATAACACAACAATCTAAATTTTTTTAATAAACTTCGATTTAGCTCATATACAAAATTTAGTTATATTTAAATAAAGTATTGATAAATCATGCAATAAATTATAAAAACACATACAAAACAAAGTGCAACAGGATATTTGAATATAAAAAATATAAAATATTATAAAATTAAAACATACCTGGCCTCCTGGAAACTGAACTTTCAATCTCATAGAGAAATCACTTAGACTTTCAAACTCATTACCTCTGTAAACAAATACTTTGTTCTAAATGTTATTATATGTTATTTAATAAAATGATATCTATAACAAACAGTAAAAAAACAAAACCATTCTTACTCTAAGAAACGTTGGAAATCCTCTGCCATAATAACCAACTCTAAAGTATGTAGGTTCAGGTCGAACAACTGTCTTTATAATATTTTCAAAGAAAACAGCTTCCTTTTTCTATATATATATATATATATATATATATATATATATATATATATATATATATATATATATATATATATATATATATATATATATATATATATATATATATATATATATATATATATATATATATATATATATACATATATAAAAAGGATATAATTATATATATGTATATATATTTATATATATATATATATATATATATATATATATATATATATATATATATATATATATATATATATACATATATATATATATATATGTATATATATATATATATATATATATATATATATATATATATATATACAATTATATTTTATTTAGATGAATAAAAACAACTGATTATATATATATATATATATATATATATATATATATATATATATATATATATATATATATATATATATATATATATATATATATATATATATATATATTAGGGTGGTGCTTAAAACAACTTTATTGAGAAAAACCTGCTGGTACCCCCTAAATGTGTTTTATCTAATACAACAACACTAGGTTTAAAATTTTTTCGAACAAAAAATATTTTTAGGGGTAGCTCAAGGCCCTCAAAAACTTGGCGGGTCCCTAATGTTTTGAAAAAAAAACTTTTTCTAAAGTATGTCAACCTGGTACTCAAAATAAGCAAAATTATATAAAAAATTTAAAAATGAAAATAGTTTTCTATAAAAATAATTTTTTTAGGTATAAATGCATAAAAACTATTGTTTTCCGGCTAAAAATGAAAAAAGTAAATTTTTTTTAGGTTTTTTAGGAATAATTTTTTAAGGCATGTTTTTTATGTAAAATGATTATTATTTTGAAGGTTTTTATATAATATCGCTTCTTTTGAGTACCAGGTTGACATACTTTAGAAAAAGTTTTTTTTTCAAAATATTAGGGACCCGGCAAATTTTTGAGGGCCTTGAGCTACCTATAAAAATAATTTTTGTTCAAAAAAATTTTAAACCTAGTGTTTTTGTATTAGATAAAACACATTTAGGGGGTACCACCAGGTTTTTCTCAAAAAAGTCGTTTTAAGCACCACCCTAATATATATATATATATATATATATATATATATATATATATATATATATATATATATATATATATATATATATTTTTACTATGAATACTCCATAATAAAAAAAAAAAAAAAAGACTGGCCTTAGCAGTCTAAAAATACATAAAAGTCAAGTTTTTGATCCCTCCATATACAAAAATTTGACTTTTAGGGTTACATACAAATATTTCCGAAAATTTTTTGACTATCAAAATTATTTTTGTAGCTTGATCTGATTTTAGATTAACTTTTTGTTTATTTAGATTTTTTATTATGTACTTGATGAAATATGTAATATTTTTATAATTGTTTTTTGTTTGAAGAAAGACTATTTTAAGGTTTTTATCCAAGATTTTTATGTTATTTTAAACATTGATCAGCAACAACCATTTTCTTTCTTTTTTAAGTTTCATTGTTTCTGGAAGTTTCAATAAACTTTTGACCAAATTTAACAGGTGTTCTGCAATTTACAACAAGAAGATTTTTTTAAACCATATATAATCTAGATATGAGTCCTAGTTTGATGAACTTGTTTTCAACTGCCTCATATAATGTCATTTTTAACAAATCAAAGAAAAAATCACTTTCAGTTCCATTAAAGTCTTTGATAATTTTTGAATTTTTTTTTTTACTTGTCAATAAAAATTTTAGAATTTAGTTTACCTATCTTTTAACTCACTGGCTTTGCTGATTGAGTTTATTTAACAGCTAATTAATGTTATTGATCTACAGCTAATTAATGTAATTGATCTAGTTAGCCAAATAACCACAAACTTTAATTTAAATACCAAGTGTTTTTTCAAGTGACTTCAGCACAGCTTATGCTGGTTTAAAACTACATTTGGAATATTGTTTTATTTCATTAACAGCTTTAAGATTTAAAAAAGGTGTTGTTGCATTAAGAGGAGCTTTAATAAACCATGAAACATAAAACCTAAATGTAGTTATTTCAGGAATCAGCTTGCAATGATATTATATTACAACACAAACTATTAAATTGTGGCCAAAGAAGATTGTATGTTAAATAACAAACTCCCTGTGATATAAACCTAGCATGGAGTGAAGTTATTGAAAATCTTGACTTATTCTTGTTTTTTTCTGTCTTAAAATACTTTGCTAAGAAATAGAATAATCATCAATGCTTCCTGAACTGTTATTTATAAGTGAAGTTTTGCACTGTTTTACTGTTTTTCACCTGAACTGTTATTTAAAACAAAAGTTTTGCACTGTTTCACTGTTTTTCACCTGAACTGTTATTTATAACAGAAGTCTTGCACTGTTTCACTGTTTTACACCTGGACTGCTATTTATAACAGAAGTCTTGCGCTGTTACACTGTTTTTCACCTAAACTGTTAATAATGAATAAAATTCAGTCCAAATTCAAATTGACTTAAAATAGTAAAAATTTATGATAGAATAGTTCAAATAGTTCAAATCGATTAATAAAAATATTTTTATGATTAAAATGATCAAGATATAAATATTTTTATTTATAAGTTCTTCTACTTTTGATTTGCCATTTAGAGACTTATAAGGAAGAGAAAAAATAAACAAAAACAAAAACCATTTATAAAAAATACAGTTTTAAAAAGACAAGAGGTTTTCATGAATGCTGGAGGATTTATTTGATGTAAGGCAAAATAATTGCGAAGATATCATCATAAAAGATGATAGAAATTGAGAAGTAAACCAGTGTTCCTTTTAATCTAAGATTGCTCATTAACAACAATGATTTTTAGGCTTGTTTAATTATATATATATCTTCATTTTTAATGGTTACATATTTTTCAGCAAATTCAATTGCGACATTCAAAAGATTTTCATTGATAGAAAGATAAAAATGATAAATTGATAGAAGGATAAAAATCAATGTCAAAAATTAAAAAATTTATAAAAATGTTTGTTTTTAATACCTTTGAACCAATCTAAAACATTTTGCATGCTTTTCCATTGATTCGGACAGAGAATATTTTTTGGCTCAGCAACAACGCTAGATAAAATAAATTTACTGATTCTTTCAATTTCATTTTTTGCTGGATTTAAAAGATAGACAGCAAGTTTGATTAAAAAATTTTTTTTAAAGAATTTTTGTATTTTATTTGCAAATACAAAATATATAATATAATAATGTTCTTAAAAGAACAAAGCAGTAATAAATTAGCATTTAATTTATTAGTATTTAATTTTTTTTTAAAAATCTTTGTTTCCAACAAGGCTGCAATCACTATTAGAGTTAGAAGTTACTGGAAGAACAAAAATGAAGTTTGTAACGATTGACAGACAATTTAAAGATTGCAAATTATATGAATCAAGAAAGCAAGATAAAGGAAGTGAATTCTAAAGAACTGATGTTTCAGTAAAAAAACTAGACAAATAAGAGTTTTTTGGAGCACTTAGGAACAGCCACAGAAAAAAGATAAGACTTAACTGAATGACAAGTAACATGAGAATGAATTTTAGTAGATGGTACAAGAAATGCTAGCTCTTTAAAGAAGTGCCCATTATAGTATTTGTAAAAAAGAGAAGCAATGTTACGACGATGTGATAATGGTTGGAGATTGGCTGCAAGAGCAGGTCCAACTATATTTGCAATGTGTTTTTGCACCTTGTCTAAAAGAGAAAGATAAAGAAGAACTAGTCACCTTTTGAATCTAATAGCCATACTCTTTCTATTTTCCCAAAGAAATAGATTCACTGTTAGACATCTAAATTACTCTTGCTTCTATTACAAAATTTATTTCTTAAAATCCTTTATTGCTTGTGGTACGAACAACATTTCTATTATAATCATACAAAAGTATATAACTTTCTTCATTAAACTCTGAACTATTTAACAAGTGCTAAATTTTTTCTTGTGTTCTGGATAATGGCCTCTATTTTTCCAATTTTGAAAAACTCTAGAAACCGCTCTGACTTAATCTATTGCCCAATCAATCCTCTTACAATTTTAAGCAAAATCTTTGAATGTTTAACAAAACTTTTGATATTTTATCCTGAGTTTGACCACTTAACAAATTTTTAATATTTCATCAAGAGTTTGACAACTGCTGCTGAATTATCAACTATTATTACAAAAAATCTTTTGAATGTTAGATGGAAGCCATGTTGGGCTTTTGCTCTCGACATCAAAAGCTTTTAATAAAATTTGGCTCCAAAAGTTTGCTTCACAAGATGTATCTGGTAATACTTTTAAAAGTATAGAATCATTGCTTTCTATCTGCAGTATTAAAGTTAATGGACAAGTTCAATATCTTTAATGGACAACTTCAACAAGGAGAGCTTTATTTCCAATAACTTCTGGGGAACTAAAAGGTTCCATCCTTGATTATTACTTATCGGTACTAGTAATCATCCTGATAATCTTAAATTCAAACTGCGGCTCTATTTGCTAATGACACATCTAAATAACTCAGTTTTCACTTTATAAAAAGTCATACTCTTTGATTGCTTAGAACAGACAGATAATCTTGAATCTGACCTTTCTTCTGTGACAATATAGGGCTTGATATGGCTGGTGAGACTTTTAATCAAAAACAAAACAAAAGAGAGAACTGTTTTATTATTCTTAAAAACTTTTTGTTGTTGTTGTATAAATATTTAGATTTGTGTAGAAATAATTGTTTTAAATTTTGTCTTAAAACTTTGCAAGACTACTTAAAAAAAAAGTTTATTAAAAAAAATTGGTTCACTGGAAAAATTGGAAAAATAAAAAAATGTAGATAAATAAATAAAGAAAAGATACCTTTAAATACTATATTAATTATACCTTAAGCAAAGAAAGAATTTATACATTTATAATAATGACAAAAAGGATTATTATGTTAAAAGATACAAGAAATACTAAAAACATTTACAATAGCAACTTTAATTAGCAATTTTAAGTATATGCTTCTAATTTTTTAATTAGGTTTAAGATTCAAAAATTCATGTATACTAATATGTATAGTATTAATATGTACACATATACATATGCATAAGTACTAATATGTACACACTCTACAATAAGTTAAGTAACACACTCTTTTCATTATGTACACACTCTGCAACAAGACTAATTAGTTAAGTTACAAGATAGATTACAAGAAGTAGAATAGGTTTCAAAAGTTTGCAAAACTAGTGTTGCACAAAATGAGCTAGTATTGCATAATGGAGCTAGTATTGCACAATAGAGCTAGTATTGCACAATAGAGCTAGTATTGCAAAGCAGAGCTAGTATTGCACAATGTAGCTAGTATTGCACAATAGAGCTAGTATTGCACAATAGAGCTAGTATTGCACAAAAGTTTGCTAAACTAGTATTGCACAGTAGAGCTTGTGTAACTTGGTATTAAAATTTCTTAAGAAACACTTTAAACTAATTTTTTTAAATTTCACTAGCACAACAAAACAATCACAAAAAAAAGTGTTTATATACACAACAAAAGCATACTTTAAAGTTTAAATTTGTAATTTATTTGGATGAAATGGACTAATCACAAAAACTTCATAACACCATTATTTACATGAAAAATCAATAATTAACATTCAACATAATAACTATTTAATATCAGATTAAGTTTAATATCAGATTTTGATAAATAATGATTTTCAAATATTGAAAAACTAACCAATATCTCACTAAGCTGAATATAATCATAAGTTTCACATTCATATTGGTTTGCAAGCTCTTTACATTTATTAATACCATACTCCCACATCTAAAAAAAAAACATAATTTTTTCCAAAACAAATTTTTTTAAAACATTTTTTAAAACAGCAACAATTATCTTGTTGCTGTTTAAAAAAAGTAATAATTAAAAAAAAAATGTATAATTACTTTGCCCTTATCAAAAAAATCTATGATTTCTTTGTATAATTTCTCTTTTAATTCTCTGTGTGTTTTGGCTTGATAGCGACTTGAAGTGATACTGTTATTTGTAAGAGGCTCATCAGACCACTAAAATAAAAGAAACTACTAAAAAAACTAAAGTAAAATAAATTATTGTTTTGATAGCAACTTGAAGTGATACTGTTATTTGCAAGAGGCTCATCAGACCACTAAAGTAAAAGAAACTATTTAATTATTTGTTAAGGATTTTTTTTTGCGCAAGGAAGTAAAAAAAGATTAAAAACTAAAATGCTTAATAAAATTTGTTATAAAAAGTAAAAAAAAAACTTTGAAAAACTGTTCAAAAATTGTGTTTAACTTCACACTTCCCTAAATCTTCCTAACATCTTGTATAGCCTAATAGGTAATAAAAACCAGATAAACACAAGAAATTAAACTTGGCTTTAACTCTGTGAAAGTTCAATAGTTACAGGGATGATCCAGGACATATTTTTGAAATCTGGACAATATTTTTGGAAATGTATTGGCAAAAATCTGTAAAATATTTTTCCTTATTTCTCTTCATTAAACAAGCTTACAATGAGGTGCCGAGCAAAGAAGGGGAGGGGAAAAACATGGCATGCATATTTAGGGTAACAATTTCAACAATTTTCCAGACAGTAACATAGCAACAAAAATGCCTTGAAGCATCAGCTTGTATAAATTTTCTTGTACACATTCACAATCACAATGTTTTTTTTTTTTAAATGACACAAAAAAAAAAAAAAAAAAAAAAAAAAAAAAAAAAAAAAAAAAAACCAACAACCAACAAATAACAATAGAAAAACAAAATGAAAACCTTTAATAGTTCTGCATGTTGCAATAATGTGAATGCAGCTTCTGTATAACTTCCAACACTTATGTGAAGATCACAAAGTTTATATAAATATCTAAAGTTTGTAAAAATATCGAAAAGTGTTGTTGCATACTAAAACGCTTTGTTAAATACTAATATATTTTTTAATATTTATTTTTTAAATTAACTGTTTAAAAATAATTTTTAAAATTGAAGTCATTTAAACCCAAGCACATTTAAACACAAAAAATTATTTATACTAACACAAGATAAAATATTTTGTTGAAAAAATCACCTCTCTTTCATTTCTTCACGCCTAATCTCTTGATAGAAGTTCTTAAGTAAGAAGAAAAAAATATACAAAAACACTATAACTTTACAGAAGAAAACAACAAAAAGTCAAACTGACCAGAATATTGACTGTACAGCTCATACGATTGTTTATGTTATCTTCAGAACGTATGACAGAACAATAGTCTAGCAGTCTTGACAACAGTTTTTTTATTGTTTGTACAAAAATAACTCCTAATTCATATAGACGAGGGTTTTGTTGTTTTTGTTGAAGAAATTTTTCAGTCAAACTAGATAAAAACATAAGCAACAACATCTTGAAAATGCAAAATTATTAAAATTGAATAAACAAAAAATCAAAATAATAAATCAAGGAAAAAAATAGTTTTAAAAATTAATATTTTACATTTCACTAAATAGTTCTTTATATTCTTCATCACCCTTTGAACCAGTTTCTACTAAGTGATCAAGATGAATAATTACCTCAGACTCAACCTGATATAAAATTAACCAGATACACACATAAATGTATAAAATCAAGAATTGATCTACAAAATAAATCATTAAAAGCATAACTGTTAACTACCTGCTTAAAATGTTGTCTTGTTCTAAACTCACACTCAATCATATCAAAAAAAATTGGAATAGTAGCTCTTCTTAAATCTGAAATAGATATACTTAAGTTTAATATTTCAAATAAAATAAAAATAAAAATTATTTATGATTATATATTTATAACCACAAATGCAAACACTTTTTCTAAAGCATATTTGTAAACAAAATGGGAAAAACCTGATATGAATAAACAAGTAAACCATGTTTAAACAACTCTTACAGTTTAATATATATATATAAATATATATATATATATATATATATATATATATATATATATATATATATATATATATATATATATATATATATATATATATATATATATATATATATATATATATATATATATATATATATATATATATATATATATATATATATATATATATACTCTAGTACTATTAAACGCACTTTTTCTACTTTAACTTTTTTTTTTAGACCTAAAACAGCAATTTTATATATTTTGAGTGTGTCTAATGGCGCTTCCGTTATTTGAAAATAGATAGAAAATTAGGGTAGCGGGTAAATGGCGAACTGCGAACTGGTAAAATGCAAACTTTTTTGCGAACCAAGGCATTATATTTTAATGAACACTACAGTTATGATATTTGAAAAAATGTTTACTCGTCAATATTTTAATTTAAGTTAAATATATTTTAAGTTGATATATTTTATTTAAATTAGATTGTATTTCTTTTAAATTAAAAATAACTTATGTTTCTTCTTCAAGTCCTTAGTATACAGTAAAATAAACTATTCAACGGCAAACGGAAAATGAAAAACATTACATCATTATCAATCAATAGAATTAAGGTTCGCAAAAAAGTTTGCATTTTACCGACTAACAAAAATTAGGTCCACATAATATTAGAAAACAGAGTAATCTATCTTTTAGTTATAATGGTACTAATAGTTTTCTTAATTGTGTGGCTTTAGTGACATTTTCTGTAGTCCTAAACTTGCTGTCATATATATGTATATATGTATATATATGTATGTATGTATATATGTATGTATGTATGTATGTATGTATGTATGTATGTATGTATGTATGTATGTATGTATGTATGTTTGTATGTATGTTTGTATGTATGTTTGTATGTATGCATGTATATATATATATATATATATATATATATATATATATTATATATATATATATATGTGTAAAACTTAAATTGCAAGTTTAAATAAGCACTCTGATGTCACACTGAAATAACCTGAGGGTTTGGGATGGGGCAGCAATATTTTCTTTCACCATTCTTTGTTTTTTTCTTCATTTTCTGAAAACACTGTATGCTATAAAGATATATATATATATATATATATATATATATATATATATATATATATATATATATATATATATATATATATATATATATATATATGGTGAGAATGGAATTTAATTGTACAAAATAGTTTTTGCATATTACTTTGTTAAAACTTTTTTTAAACTTGATTAATAATGAAAATAAATGAAATAAAAACTTTTTCAATTTATTATGGTTATCCCTTGTTTATAATTTTTAGAAAAAATATTGAAAAAATGTGTTTGTGTTAAATTTTTTTTTTAGAAAGGTATTAATTTGTATGTACATAAATTAATTACACAAAACTGTTTTCTTGATAAATTTTTATGAAAATGAATGTTTTTGATTTTTCAATTTATAAAACATCTATTTTAATATTGAATTTTCATCTCTAGAATATTTTTTTCAGCAACTAATAATATTTTTGAAAAAAAAAAGACATTATGAACTGTTCTTCAACACAGTATGGCACCCAAAGGTAAACATTTAAATATTATTCAACAAAAACATGCTATAGACTTGGTAATCAACTTGTTATAGACTTGGTTAATCAACTTGTTATAGACTTGGTTAAACAAGGAAATACTTATAGAACAGTATATATAGAATAGAGCAGTAGGAACAGAAGGAGCAGTAGGAGAAAATAAAACATGAAACAATTGAAATTTGCACTGGACAAGGGCAAAAGTGAACAACAACTTCAAAAGATGATAAATTTTTTTAGGAATGATTGATAAAAATTAAATTAAAAGCACAAAAAATATAGCAAATCATCTAAAAAAACTCAACAGGAAACACAATTTCACTAACATCAATTAGAAATGGCATTCATTAAAGCAGGGTTTAGTGGATGTATAGTTCATAAAAAAACATATTTAAGAAAAAATCATATGAAGAGAAGAATGAATTTTGCAAAGAGGAATTATTTAATGTCAGTACTAATTAGGAAGAAAGTTGTTTGGTCCGATGAATCCAATTTAAAATTCAATAAATCTGATGGTGCACAAAGAGTTTGACAAAATGGGGGCAAAGAAAAAAAAGAGGCAAAGCTTTTCATTTGAGTTGCACAAGATGAATAGTTAAACATGGTAGTGAAAGTGTAATGGGGTTGTATGGCGTGGAAAAGAATTGATAATTAATAAAATATAAAAAAGATTTTGTCAGTTATTTTTAATAAACTATTTCTTCTTAGGTTTAACTTATAATGCTTTTCTTGTACAATTATTTTATGTGTATGTATTTTTAGCTCATTCTTTTAGTTTAAAATTTTTAATCAAGCAATTTGTAAATGTAATTTTACAATTTTTATAAAGATTTTAAAGGAAAAAATCTGACATAAAATAAGTTCTTAAATATTGTTACCATGCATTAATATTTATAACTAATGCTTGATAACAATATTTCATTCAAAGATGTTAGTTTTATTAAAAAAAGAAATAAAAAAATTAAAATTATAATAACTCTAAATACTAAGATTAAAATACAGTTGTAATAACTATGTAGTCACCAGTGCCTTATTGAACCACAGAAGTGCCAAGCACTTCTGTAGCTCAATAATTCTCAAAATACTTGCTCAATTCTCAAAATACCTGCTTGAAAGTTTTAAACACTCCCATAGGAAAAGCTTTTGCTTATAAATATATGAGCTGTGGCCAGCCATAAGAATGATTGTATCTGACACAACATCTGCAAGTACAGAAATAAGAATTAGTGTAATAACGCTGCTACAGAAACGTTTCAAAACCATTGGACTAGAAAAGCCTGCTTTTGTTGGATACCAACACCATTTTCTAGATATGCTTTTGAAACATGTTATGAATGATCTTTTTTGAAGAATCAAAACATCCCCAATTTTCATTACCCTTTTGTGACAAGATTACTGCAAGAGTACACGAACCTGAAGTTATTATTTCAGAATACTAGAAATCCTTAGACAAAAGTGAATCACTCTGGCTAGATAATATGGACTTCCTGCATCACTTAATAGCTTATTATAGAAAGTTTAAAAACACTTAAAAGGTACTTTTCCAAAAGTGAATTTCAAATCACTTCCTGCTACAAGCAATGCAAGATGGAACTTGAGAGCAATTTTTGTTCTACTTGCTTACATTCAAATAAAAAACTATCAAGAATCGAAACCTGCTCAAGCAGCATGCGACTTCATCTGTGGTTTATGGGGTGATACATAGTTTGGTGGTTACTACTTCAATCGTGCAGATTTTGTTAATCTACTTGAAGCATGCAGTAAGCATCCAAAAGCATCGAAATCATCGAAAATATTTTGGTTCACAGAGCCAATACCAATTCCAACACGATGGTCAAATATATGTGCAGAATGTGTAGTAAGAGTGATGCAAGATTTAGTACCTTTATGTCACAGAAAAACCTAACACTTATTTGAAATACTTATTGTCAAATACATTGTAAAAATATTTTAATTATTCATATTTTATTGATTTTTTGTAAAGTAATGGAACACTATGTTCAATATTTGCTTGATTTTTGCATAAAAAACTCCACTGAATTGAGTATGGATATACAGGGTAGTAAGTGACCGAGGGTTGATTTTTGATTGGAGCTGGGGCTGGGTTTGATAAAATATAGCCGGGGCCAGGTTTGTGACTGGGGCTGCATAAACATTTATTCATCCTAAAGTATATTTTTTTAATTCAAAATTCATGTTAGATTTTGTATATATATGCATATGTAAACATCAGTATGATCATCATAATGATCATTATTATCATGATCATCATCATCATCATGATGATCATGATGATGATGATGATGATGATGATCATCATCATCATTATTATCATGATCATCATAATCATGATCATCATCATCATCAGGCTTAAGCCTTACTCTTTTATGCTGTTTCTCTAATATAAACAATCTAGAGCATTTTTTTATCTCAACAAAAACTCATTCATACAATATGTAAGGCACTCTCTTAAAGTTTTTACTTCTACCACTATCATTTTCTACTGAAGCTGCTGCCTCTCTACATGCTGATACCTAAATTACTTCTATCTTTTCTAACTAGCGTTTTTCTATACAATATTTTTTCTAATCTAAAATTATGCCTCCTTTGCTTGTCTTGCTTGAGTCACACTTTACATCAATCTGATAATCTTCTCTTTCGGCAAATACTACACCATACAAATATTAAAGTTTATATTACAATGAATGGATAGTGTATGCCAGCATCTAAATAAATAGCAAACATATATGTTTATATCCATAATATGTGTGCATAAAGCGCATCTTGGAAGCTTTTATTCCTTCTCTTCAATTTTAAGTCAAGCTTTATTCTACTCCACATTTTTCACCATCTTGAGTAGTTTGCTTTATTAAACATTAATCATTTTTTTAATCTTTTTTTTTTTAAAAAAATCTCTCTTAAAAACAAATGACTTTTTAATTACTGCAAGAAGCCAATGTAAAAAAGTCCTGTCTGATGTTAAGCTCTGTTATTCTCATTTTACTAAATCTTTTATCTTATCTCTGATGTTAGGTTCTAAGGACTTTTGGTTGGTCTTTAACAATGTCATTAACTAAAGTCTAACATTTAATCTCTAATTCATGGTTCTGATATTTTTACTTCTCCCCAGAATGAAGCAGAGTTATTTGCAAAGAAATCTTATTCTAACTTGACTTGAATTTGAATAAAAAGGCCATTTTCTTCTTGACAGTTAAACAGATAAACCCATTGTAAAACATCGAAATCACTCTGACTTTAAATGCTTAAGTCAATTCCCAATTAAAGACTTCTACAGTTTGTGTTCCAGAATAGATTTCCATCATATTCTTATAAAAGTGTTCTCCAGAACTCTTTTCAATTTGTGCTAAACTTTAAAAACATGCTAAATAAGTGGTTCCAAATTTTAGTGGGCAAGAGCGAGAGCTAAAGCTCTCGCTTCCCGCTAAAGCCTATGACAATATAAAATCAAAAAAATAAAATAAAGACCTGTTTCTGGAATTAAAGTCATCTCCAAGAATGGTCTAACCATATTTTGAATGAGACGTATCTTGTTTATGCCTAAAAAGAAAATAAGAAAATAAAATTTTATGATGCATAACAAGATTTTATTATGGATATTATTTATTATTTTTTATACATATTATGTGTTATGAGGCATACATTTTACATAACAAAAATTTTTATTTGCAGTCATATTATGACTAGTCAAGTTTATCTGCAGTCTTATTATGACTAGTCAATAATTCTTGCTTTTGATATAAAGAGTATTTGCAAAAATAAAATTGATGTTTTATTTTTAATTAGCTCTATTATGCTAAATTAACACTATAGTTGTTGATACAAGTAAATTATTTAAGAACTCAATACAAAAAAAATATTAAAAAAGGATGAAAGAAAATCAAGGATGGAAGAAGTTTTTCAAGTTAAAGAGACTATTTTTTTTAAATTATACATATCCGCTTCAAACCACTGCTTAAGTTAAAAGTTAACAAAATATATACATATTTGCTCTGAACCACTGTTTAAGTTAAGAGTTAACAGAAAGCAAAACATAAAAATTTAAACCATTGATGTTTTGTGAAAAAAGTAACCCCCTGTTTGACCTTTTTCAAACTTACACAAATAGGATACAGACTCAAGCTTTTCAGCTAGAACAAACCCAACTACATCTACATTTTTGAACTTTGTCTAATACAAACAGCATTTAAAAAAAAACAGCCAAAAATATGAGAATAGTACTTCACACAAAGACAAATAAGAGATTTATATAGGCAGAGAATGGAGTCAGAAGTAATCAAAAGGCAAGCACAATAAAGAAAAGCAAACTTAGTAGATGCTAACATTGTATCTATTAAATTTACAATCATATATACAATCAATTGTAAATGTAGTTTTCATGAGAGAAAAAAATTAAACTGAGATTTAGAGTTTTACCCTCATAAGTCTAAAAAAGTTTTTGTAAAATAAAAGCCATCTTGCGTTTGAGTGGAGTTAATTAAATATTTTCATTGAAAGGGGATAAAAAGTCTTTTTTTTATGAAAATGTTTCGCAGTTATAGAGTTGAGAGAGAATTGTAACCACAATAAAAGTAGCCTCCTCGGTCTCGGAGAGGTGAATTAACATAAAAAAAATTAACATTAAAAAAAATTAATTATTTATAACTATTTTACCTAGCCACTGCCACATGTCAATAATTTTTAAACCAATATTCATACGCATGTCATCATAACTTAACATAAAATGTACAAAATAAAATTAGAAAAAAATGCATAAAGAAAAAAACAAAATAATAATGAAAATATGATTGAATCTTACTTGGCTAAAATTTTGTTTCGTTTTGTTTCAGTAAAACTTTCAAGTTGCAGTGCATCTTGAGTAATAAAAGATACAGAGAGTTGGAAAAAATTGTCCCAGAGCTGAAAAAAAGAGATTTAAATATATTCCAGATTAAAAAAAATCAAAATATAAGATAAGCAATTAAATGAAACTAAACATTAATTCAATTGATCAAACTTACCTGAAATTGAAAGCTGTCTTTAACTAGAAATTTATCATATAATGCTTCAGAGAAATAATTTAATGCTCTCAATATGACCCTATAATATAAAATATTATTACATAAGTAAAAAAAAACTCAAGTAACTTATGATGATTTGTGATAAAATAAACAACATTATTGCATAAGTAAAAAATTTCAAGTAACTAAAAATAATTCATGATAAAACAAATAAAAACTGTTAGAAATAATTAGAAAAAACTTTTACAAGCAAATGGTTTTTTTTAAAAAAAAAAAAAAAGTATGAGAAGTTAAGATTTTAATTTTATATTTCACGTATACATATATATCCATAATAAAAATAATTTTAAAATAGTTACGTATTTTGAATCATAATCATTGATGTCCAGTCTGGAGGAAATACATTCCCTTTTATAAATTCACGAATAACTAGAAACAGTTCCATCAACCCATCAAGAAGGTCAAGATCACTATCATATGAAGCTAAATACTGTTCATAGTGGTTATCTTTCATCAAATCCAAAATACATATAACAAATGTAACATAATTTCCCTATTTAAAAAAATGCATTTAGTGGTTTATTTATTTAGTTGTAATACAACAGGACACTACGTAAAATACAACAGGGCACAATGTTATCCTAGAAAATAAAATACCAGCAGTTGACTAGCAGGATTCATTCGAATGACACTTCGAATGATGCAGTGAAATAAATTCGTACTGATATAAGATATGTCATAATCTGTGTCACCCTGGAAATTTTAAAATGACAAAAGTTAAAAATAAAAATAAAAAAACAAAGACAACTAAAAAAATTTGACCTACAACTTCAGTTATACGATAGAAGCTTGAAAGCATTTCATTCAGGATATCAGCACACACTTTAAGTTCTTCAAACTTTTCAATACTAGCCTTTAACTGACCAACAATCATTTTTAGAACTACTTGTCGACTAACTAATTTTAATAAATTTAAAATTAAAACAATCTGATGTATGAATCAATACAAATATGTACACAAACACACACACATACACTCAGATTTATACAAAACATCACTGATAATGTCATAATAAAATAGCTTATTATATAACTAATTTGATTACTACAGATAAAGGTCAGTATAGTATTAGTTCTGCTCACTTTAATTTTTGAAATATAGACTTTAATTTTGAAATCTTTTAGAGCAGCATAACTACATGTAATCTGAATAATAAAGATATAAAACTTGAGTATTTGAGAGTCAAAATGGTAATCTCTTATATACATTTTGAGTATTTTATAAGTCAAAATTGAATTATGAAACATTTCTTTACAAAGCAAAATAATTTTAAGTAAATTTCACATAAGTAAACCATTACACATAATTAAGCAATTTAACATTTATGAGATATGTGAAATTGTTTGCTTATGTGAAGTTATTTTTATAAATAAACAAAGCAAAACCTTTTTATGTAAACTTAACATAAATAAACAAAAAATTGTCAAACAAAAAAAATGTATTGTTTAAGAGTTCATTTTTACTGCAATAGAGAAAAAAAAAAAAGTTAACCCAAATTTTATTTAACCATAAAATATTTTGATAGCTTTTTAATAGTTTTGATTTTGATTTGTTTGCTCAGCCATGTTACATCACTGTTCTCCTAAATGAACAATAAGTGTCAACTCAAATTCCAAAGAAACCACAATATGCCTGTGAAAGCTTGACTCCTGGATTCCAAAAATATAAAAAATCAAATCATCCTATTACGTGCGAGAAAGAAAATCATTTTTGAAAATTTTTATTTTGCACATTTTTTTTTTTTTTTTTTAACATCTTCACTTCCAACAAGGCTGCAAGCAACCACTATAAGAGTTGGAAGTTACTGGAAGAGAAAAGACTAAATCTGTAGAGCAAGATGACGATTGACTGATGACTTAAAAGATTGCAAATTATATGAATCAGGAAAGCAAGATGAAGGAAGCGAATTCCAAAGAACTGATGTTCGAGGAAAAAAACTAGAAGAATAAGAGTTTTTGAAGCACTTAGGAACAGTCACAGAAAAAGGATGAGACTTAATTGAATGACGAGTAACACGAGAATGAATTTTAGTAGATGGCACAAGGGACGCTAGCTCTTTAGAGCAGTGCCCATTATAGTATTTGTAGAAAAGAGAAAGAGAAGCAACATTACGACGATGTGACAAAGGTTGGAGATTGGCTGCCAGAGCAGGTCCAACTATGTTTACAATTCGTTTTTGCACCTTGTCTAAAAGAGAAAGAACATCATTAGAAGATCCGCCCCAGATGTGGCAACAGTATTCCATACAGGGACGGATTTGAGATTTATAGAGATAGAGAATAGAATCTGGAGTAAGAAAGTGTCGAGCTCGATAAAGAGATGCAACCTTAGCAGATGCTAATTTTGCAATGGATTTGATATACGGTTTAAAAGAAAGATCAGAAGTAAGAGTTAATCCTAGAAGATGAATGGTAGATGACTCATCTAGTACATTACCATTCATAAATATAGGAAGATCTAAATTATTACGATAACGATTGGCCGAATAAAATTGAGTTTTATCTGAATTAAAGTTCACCAGCCACTGTGAGCCCCATGCTGTAGCAGAAGTGAGATCCTTTTCAAGCTCAGATACCCCCTCCAAGCAATCAGAGAGTGTAGGCTTCTTATCATGACAAGAGTAAATGGTAGTGTCGTCAGCGAATAATGCCACCTTAGATGTGAGAATATCTGGAAGATCGTTAATGTAAATTAAAAAGAGTATAGGGTTAAGTATTGAACCTTGAGGAACCCCTGAAGTTACAGGATGTGAAGAAGAGTGTTGTCCATCGAGGACAACTTTTATACTACGATTGGAAAGAAAGGACTCAATAATCTTAAAGACGTTACCAGCTACACCATAAGAAGAAAGCTTATGGAGAAGACCAGCATGCCAAACTTTATCAAAAGCTTTAGAAATGTCAAGTGCGATAGCCTTAACCTCTCCACCTCTATCTAATGCACGGTAAAACCTATCGGTTATTACTGTTAGCACATCAGCTGTAGAACGAGAAGACCGAAATCCATATTGATGATCAGAAAGTAAGTTATTTGATTCAAGATGAGAGATTAAGTGTTTGTTGATTAAAGATTCAAAAACCTTGCTTATGACAGGAAGAAGACTAATGGGACGGTAGTTAGATGAATCAGATCGCTCTCCAGAATTTTTGAAAATAGGGATAACAGATGCTGCTTTCCAGCATGATGGAAAACAAGACTCTGATAAGCACTTGTTAAATAGTTTTGAAAGTATGGATGAAAGCTCTGGAGAACACCTCTGCAAGACTACAACAGGAATGTTGTCAGGACCACAAGCTGTTGAAGAGTCTAAGCAGGAAATTACTTTTGATACAGAAGCTGAAGTGATGCGAATGTCAAGCAAGGGATCAACCTGTTTGACAGCTATGTCAGGTAAAACGCAACTAGTGGAATCAAGAGATGATATTGATGAAAAGTTCTTCGCAAACAATTCAGCTTTGTCTTTAGGTGAGGTGACAAAGTCTGAACCATACAAGAGAGAAGGAATAACAGATTTGCCCTTATTATTGATACTGTTAAAGATTCTCCAGAAGTCTCGAGAGCCTAATTTTTGTGATGAGATACGAGATTTAATGACCTGAGAATAGCGAGCTTTGGCGTCAGACAAAACCTTTTTACAATGGTTTCTGGCGATAGTGAACAGATTTCTGTTTTCTGGAGAATTGTTTTGCTGATAGATATGGAAGTAACGGTTTCGATTAGAAATTGCTGCAGCGCAATGTGAGGAAAACCAAGGAGAAGAGTGAGGCTTGACCTGGAATCGTCGAGAGGGAATAAAAGATTCCATGCCAGGCTGAATCCACGAAGTTATGTAAGAAGCACATTTGTCAGCAGGAAGACGAAAGATTTCTACCCAAGGGCCATCACGAAGAAAATCACGGAAAGAGTCCCAGTCAGCTTTAAGGTAGTTGTACGTGGTACGATGATAGGGGGATTCTGATGAAGTAGAAGAGTTTGATAATAGTTTTAGAGAGATCAAACCGTGATCAGAAGTACCTAAGGGTGAATGTGGAGAAATTGAGCACTGACTAGGATCCAAAACAAGACATAAGTCGAGTAGAGAAGGTAAATGATTAGGGTTGTCTGGAAAACGAGTTGGAAAGTTGACTATTTGAGTTAGAGATTGAGAAAGGCAAAAGTTGAGGGCCTTAACGCCAGCAGAGTCACTGACACTAGAGCCAAGCCAATCGGTGTGATGGGCATTAAAGTCACCAACAATGACGATATTGGCCGATGGATAAAGAGAGAGGGCTTGGTCAATTTGATCAGAAATAGCATCAAGAATAGTGCAATCTTGGGATGAAGGAGAGCGATATAGAACAAAGAGAAAGGCGATAGAGTGAAGTTGTGCTAAACGAAAGCACATAAATGAATAGTCTGTAGATTCAAACCTAGTTTCACGACAAATGGGTGAGTTCTTACGAATGTAGATGCCCAGGCCAAGCATGTGATTATTGGAGTCTTTACGAATTAAAGGAAGATAACCATCAACACTAAGATCACAAGATGGGACAGCCGAACTCAAATTAGTCTCACAAAGAGCAAGTAGGTCTGGTGAACTTTGTAAGAGATAAGACTCAACAGAAGAAAAGTTACTTCGAAGACCACGAATATTAGTAAATGATAGGTTTAGAGAACTTGGTGATGACGATGGTTTTTTGTGTTTTTTAGTTTTAGGTACTTTAGTCATTTTGAATTTATAAAGAACTTGACTCAAGTATAGATAGTACTCAGTACACTATTTAACAACTAAGCAATAGCCTCATTACTATTAATAAACCCTAAGCCGTAACAAAGGGCTCCAAATGTGGCCTCTGCAATGCACACCAACAGTACAAACAGGGACACCATCCATGCGCAACATGGCACTGTTAGTACTCTGATATTTTTCGGCTGTTGATGGAATCAGCCTCTCTGAGAGCTACCACAGAGTTCGGGAAACCTGACTACCAGCCGGCCTCAGAACCATAAAACTGAGTTTTAGAGCTGTACCCTCATTAGGAGATAATAGAATGAGTTGCCTAGTCGTAAAAATAGAGACACAAGCAATACCCACGCATTGAGTCAAGAAGATCCAGCGTTCAACATCCTAAACTGGAAACAATGTATTAAAAATACATCTGCGCCAGCCTAACAGATGAGGAAGGGGTGCGAGGCTGGTCAACAGATAGAATCTGTTTACCCCTTAAGTCTTTGCCTAGGAGGCCTTCTACAAGACAGCAGCTGGATGCATGTAACATCTGCCCAAGATGAGTATTTTTATCGAGACACCATCTCTAGCCTTTACTCAACCAAGAGCCCCAAGGCAGGGGGTGTTTTAATTCGGAGTTAACTTCTCCTAGCCTTTGCCTAAAAAAGCGTTTCCTACAAGGCAGCAGGACATGAAGCAGGTTGTACTGGGTTACATGTTACCAGTAGCAGGAAAACCTGACCTGACCATACATATTCATGAAATGACAGCATTCTCGAAATTTTACATTTTTACAGCATATCTTAACATTCAAAAAGCTCTTTGAAAATAATAAAACCTACTTAACATAATAAAGAAACAAAAAATATGAAAATGTGAAAGATTTTATGTTATAAAATTGGTAGTAATCCAAATAGGTAAAAGATCACTTGGGTAAAATATTGCTTTTCTGAAAGTATTTTCTAATAAGTTAACTCTAGAATAATTTTAATAATAGTTTGGTAGTAATATAAATAGGTAAAAGATAATGTGGGTAAATACAAAAGAAATATTAAAATAAATTCCACATATAAAGCAACAACATTCTTGACAAAAAAAATTCTTTACAAATTCCAAACTGTTCACAGACTTTTGCTGTTAAAATCAACTAAAAACACATTTCTAGCCTTTTTCCATAATCTGGATGGCTGATAGGTCGTTTGTATCGTTGCCAATGGTTCTGAAAACGATGATGAATAGATTCTGTTGCTTGCTCACTGTAGATTCCAAGAAGAGACCTTGTTTTTTGGATAAAGTCCTTAACATGGAAAAACACTGCATGTACTTTTGGAGTGATGCTTCCTCTTGGCAATGCCAAATATGAATCTCTGAATGAATCAATTTTTTCTGCATAAGTGCAATCCAACTTGTTGCCAAAACATGCAGAAACAATGGGACCAAACTTTCAAAAGCTCAATGATGCTGAAAACTTGAAAGGCACTGTCATTTTCAGCCAGTGTTTGGAGAAGGTCGAGATTTTTGAGGAGCTTGTGGCAATCATTCCCAGCAAATTGACCACCATGAAAAGGTTGGGGCTGAATGTGCAAAGTTTGGAGCCATTCAGCTGATTTGGGCCAAAGGTCTGTCAAAATCTTGAACAGATGGTTAACAACTCCAAGATGAAGTAGATGAAGCTCCATTGGTGGAATGAGATCAAGCACAAGTGCATCATCATCAAGTGAGAGAATAGGGTCATGAATCACGTTTCCAAACAATTTTGCTTTCTTGATGTCGGATCCAGCTGCTGTGTAGGTTTTGTGTGCTTGCTTCAAAGATCCAAAAGTCCTCAGAGTACCCCGGTTTGCAAGGTTAGAGCTTTCCACAGTGCACCATGTGCATGGATGAGCTGAAGCATGTGATTGCAATCCACAAATTATATTTGCCAACTTCATATCACACGAGACAACAAAGTTGATTTCACTGATTGAAATGAGAGAGTTTTCTTCAGCAACTGCAACCAGAAGTTGCTGTTTTACTCCAAAATCCTTGGACATTGAAGATGTCAGAAATCTTTTGTTTGGCAGAGACACAACTTCACTATCTGCTTCATTTTGTAGAACTCCAAGGCAGACTTTAAGAAAACCCCCACCACCATCTATTCCAAGTTTAATGATGTGTTTTGAGAAAACCTTCCTTGAAAGTAGAACTTCTTCAGTGAGTGCTTGGAGATTTTTGCAATGGACAACAACACTTTGAGACTTCTTTTGATCTGAATTAATGAATGTTGTTGGGGTTTGTGTTAAGTGTTCTTCTAGAATTTTTCCGAGATCCTGGAACTTATGCAATATATTTGGTTCCAGAACTTTGGCAGACGAAACATGCCTAATGGTGAAAGTCAGTTTTTTTATTCCACTGTTTGACAATCCTGTATTTAGTTGAACTTGAGCAAGATCCTTTGCAGTGACTACAGCTGGATCTTTGAACAACTGCTTAGAGCAAGAAGGACCTGTTAAAGAGTAAAATATAATATTTCAGTTACTTAAATGTGATGGTCGACCTTAATGAAGAATTATATATAAACCTTGTGTGATTGGGAGCAGTCCTCCTCTTTTTGGCTGCACAAGTCTAATGGTTCCACAAGGAGAAAATTCTTTGCTGACAATTGTTGAGCTGGCAATTTGTTCTGCCACAATTCCATCAGATTTTGCAAGCTCCCTTAAGTTTTCACGGAACTGTGATGAAGAGCAATGATGGGGTAAACCTTGACCAATAAGAGAGAGATATGTAGAACATCTCCTGCTTGATGTTTTCTCTCCAGTTTTTCTTCTTTCAAGAGGGTGTTTCTCTGTCAGTTAAAGTCGCCCTATGTCACAAATCAAGCATTCACAAGCTTGACCACGTGTGTGAACTTTTATATCAATGGTCAAATTGAAACAGCTTGGGCAAAACAACCTTCTGCCCTTGATCACACTTTCCAAGGGCCAGTCTACACGGATCACAAAGACCTTGAGGAATTCTTGGATCATCAAAGTTGAACTGCTTTTTGTAGTTGTTTTGAATTTTGCTAACCAAAAATGGTGTCAACTCACGATTTCCTTTTCTAAGACACATGATACAAACAACTTTTCTGTTCTCACCATGACTTCTTGCATGATTAGGCATTTTCAATTTATTTCAAGAGAAAAGGTTAAAAAATCGACCTTCAAAAGCTTTGATTTGTAGTAAACTGCCTTTTCCCGGAATTTTTTGGTAAATTCTTAAAAATAATTTAAAATTACCAATATTATTCAATATTAAAAAAAACTATTATTGAAAATATTCTAGAGTTAACTTATTAGAAAAAACTTTCAGAAAAGCAAAATTTTACCCAAGTGATCTTTTACCTATTTGGATTACTACCAATTTTATAACATAAAATCTTTCACATTTTCATATTTTTTGTTTCTTTATTATGTTAAGTAGGTTTTATTATTTTCAAAGAGCTTTTTGAATGTTAAGATATGCTGTAAAAATGTAAAATTTCGAGAATGCTGTCATTTTATGAATATGTGCAAAATAAAAATTTTCAAAAGTGATTTTCTTTCTCGCACATAATAGGATGATTTGATTTTTTATATTTTTGGAATCCAGGAGTCATAAGCTTTCACAGGCATATTGTGGTTTCTTTGGAATTTGAGTTGACACTTATTGCTTATTTAGGAGAACGGTGACATGTTACAAGAGTGTTTTTAATCAATAACATAAAAATTAAGGGTAACTTGATTAAAAACAAAACTGAAATAATACTTTATGAAATAAAATGTTTTTTTAAAAATAATTTGTATAAAGAAGCTCTAATTTATCACAAATTCTAACTCATTTCAAGTTTTAACTTAAGAACTTGAAACAATAATAATAAAATGGTGGAAAAATTTTTAAAACTAGCACTTTTTTGCGTAGAACATACACTGTTGTATGCAGACAAATAATTTAGGAACTAACGGTAAACTAACAATTTGTATTGTTAAATAATAATATTTTGTCAAAAAATATTTAACACAATGTATTGTCAATTGTGTAACAACTATGTTTTGTTACACACATGTTTAAAAATTATATTTTAATAATCCGGAAAATTGTTTAAGTAAAATAATCAGAAAAAATCAGGAATATATTTTCCCTTATTTTCCTCTTAATTTTGCTTTTAGCTAAGTTGTTTCTAATTTTTTTTCAAACTTTTTTAAATTTTTGTATGAGTGATGAGTGAAAAGCCTAAAAAAAATGTTACAAAAATATACAGCTAAACTTGTATGTATAAAAAATGTTTTGGATATCTGGAAAAACTAAAAATTAAGAAAAATATCTGGAATTCCAGAAATATCCGGGAAAAGATAATCCCTGTAGACAACAATGTATAGCCAATTGTTGTCATACTTACTTGGATTTGAAAATAAAGGACATTTGACTAGATGATGGATGCATGTTAACTTTTGAGTTGGAAGTCTTGTAGGAGGTATACGTTCAATCAAATCACAAGCAAACAATCTAAATATTTTATAAATTTAGCCTTCAAAATACTAAAAAAATTATTTTCAAATAAAAAATTATTTATAAATTATTACCCTAATTCTGCTGCATTATACAACTCTAGTAAATCTCCAAACACAGATGGCATATACTTTAAAGCGCAACCCTAAACAACAAAAACAACAAATTATATAATAACCAATTTAACTTAAATAAATACATTAACACATAATAAAGATGAAAAGTAAAAAGAAAGACCTGCAAAGGTAAAACTTGGTTATTTGTCATTTTCATCATAGTAATAACAGAAGAAAGCAAATTCATAATCGATGTTTCAAATTCTGGACGAGCTTTTCCAGGAGCAGCACTAAACAATTTTAAATAAAAATTCTTTTAATTCATAAAAACAAAACTTATGATTAAAACTTTTGTTTTTTGATTTTTTTCACCAATTTTACTTAAGCTTACCATTCTGCAGCCGTATTCTCATCTCTCCGTTAAGCTTAAAGGAGTGTTTGTCAAAAATTTCATTACAACATTTCTAAGTAAAGAAATGACAAAAACTTTATTTAAATTTGGTTAAATAAAACTAAGACTAAAATAAAACAATTTTATTTAAAAAATTATTTATTTAAAGAATTTTTTTATTAATGTAGTTTTTTGACAAACGCTCAGTTAAGCTTAACGGAGAGATAAGAATACGGCCACTGACAGAGAACACTAATAAACAATAAACTTACCGTTCTTACAGAGAACACTAATGAACAACAAACTTACCGTTCTGACAGAGAACACTAATGAACAACAAACTTACCGTTCTGACAGAGAACGCGAACGAACAATAAACTTCACCAAATACTCTAGAGCCTAAAATAAAAATAAAATATTTGAACTTAATGTAAGACTGTTTTTTTTGTTAAAGAAAAACAATAAAACTTTAGAAACACTGTTATGTTAATTTGAAATACAATTCAATGTTACATTGAATTATATTTCAAATTTCAATTTTTTTTTGATTAAAACTAAATAATAATTGTATAAGAGTTAAATGAGACAAAATATCTAGAATTAAAAAAAAAAGATTGAGCTAAAATACTTTAAACTTTATGTTTATTAAAAGCTTATAAAGTTTAAAAAGAATAATTAAAAAACAAACTATTTTTTATTAGTACAACAAAATTTTATGATTTTTTTCGATGGAAGCTATTAGCTTTTTTCGATGGAAGCTATTAGCTTTTTTCGATGGAAGCTATTAGCTTTTTTCGATGGAAGCTATTAGCTTTTTTCGATGGAAGCTATTAGCTTTTTTTGATGGAAGCTATTAGCTTTTTTCGATGGAAGCTATTAGCTTTTTTCGATGGAAGCTATTAGCTTTTTTCGATGGAAGCTATTAGCTTTTGAACAAGGTGAGATCCTTACTCTGCTTTTTTAAAGTCAGTACTTTTTAAAGTTTCAACTTAACATAATTTGGCTTTAATAATTGCCCTATATTGCAATTTGCAGGATTGTGTGTTTTAGATTTGAAATCAATGCCATTGGTATTGTAGACTTTTAACACTATTTAATACTATATATGTTTTAACACTATTTTATACTAGATATGTATACTTTCAATACTATTTAATACTATTAAATATGTATACTTTTAATAATATTTGCAAATATTTATTTCCTCCATCATGACTAAATACAAAACATTAACAAATTATGGACCTAGCAATCAATGGCAAAATTTTATTTTCAATGGAGAAGGTAGAAAATTTAAATCATGGGAAACAAAAATCCTTGAATATATGAAGTTTAAAAATTTTAAAAATATTTAAAAAATTGACAAAGATGAAAATGTATGAACTTATACAGCTTTTGAAAGGTATCTTTAGTAATAAGCCTTTCAAATTCTAAAAAATCATTACATTAGTACAAGTAAACCTTGTATTACAACCTTATATAATCAACTAACAAGTTTAAGAAAATTTACCAATGATTCTATAACATTAACAAACTACCTAGCAACCAGTGGCAAACCAATGATTCTATAACATTAACAAACTACCTAGCAACCAGTGGCAAACCAATGATTCTATAACATTAACAAACTACCTAGCAACCAGTGGCAAACCAATGATTCTATAACAGATTATGTTATTAGAGCAGAAAAATCAGCCACTGCATTGAATATAGATGACAAAAATATAAGTGATTCATTACTTATTGCTATTACAAAGAACTATCCAAGAATATGGTTGTTTGTATTATTTTTACGAAAATTTGATAAATGAAACACAAACTGAAAGTTTGGAAATGTGGCACAAAATAATGGGACATAGTAATACTAATGATATTATAAAATTAGAAGATGTAGCTTAAGTAATGAAAACTAAAAATATTGCTAAATTCGATTGTGAAACATGTATTCTATATAAAAATGTAAATTGTAGGTGAGTTTTAGGCTACTTTTTGTGGTTACAACCCGCTCTCAACTCGTGAATTCTGAAACACAAACCTTGACGAACAAGGCTGCTGTGCAGAGAAACAAGTTGAAAGTGGTTAACATAATGGGGATCAAACTCAGAACTTTTTTACTTATAAAGCAATCACTCTAGCACTATTAAATTTAATAAAATTTTAATTAACATTAAAAAATTAATTTAATTTAAAAAATTTTATGCTTTGTTTGTATTAAGCCTAATTTGTTGTGTTCACCTAAGCACTACTTAAAAAAAAAAAAAATACAATTCTGATTCAAGTTGTTAGATGGCTCAGGAAACAAATCTTTTTGATAAGAATATTTTTGATAAAAAATGAAAAATAAAACATCAAATTATTGCCTAATATTTTTAAAAAAATAAGTAGTCAATAGTTCAAAACAAGCTAGTTACACTGCAAAAATCTGAGAGATTCTGTAATTTTTAGTTTGGAAGGTTCTTTTAACTTTTGTGCAACTGTTAATTACATGAAATGTGACAAACTATATTTTAAGTTTCAAAGTATTTGTTTAAATGTTTAAAAAGTATAAACTACAGAAAAGAAAAATTTAAAATAAAATATTAAAAACATTTTACTTTTAACAAATTAAAAACCTATAAAAAATAACCTAATAAAAAACTCCTTATAAAGTTTTCAGATTTTGTTGAGTCACAATGTATTTATATTTAATTTAATTTTCAAAAGGTCAAAAAAAACAATTTATGTTTAGCATCATACAAAAAATTAATTTATATTGTTTCTTTACCAAATAAAAAAATTTATATTGAATTCCTTTAACAATAAATTTTTATTTGAAAAAATTAACAAAATTAAAAATACCTTGAAATATTTTATAATATGCTCCCTCATATCAGCACTAAGTTCTTGAGAATGTGCAATTTCAATATTTTTTTGAAGCATTTCAATCAATGTGCTTATTATATAAAAAAAAAATAATCCAAAAAAATCAATAAAACAAAGAAAACAAAGTTATAAAATTCTTTACATCTATTATAATATCAAATTTTAAAATATAATTACATATATGCTTTTGTTGAACTGAACAGATTTTCAATATATGCATCAAGAATAGAACGAAAGTTATGATATTTCTTGTCGGCAAGTAGTCCAATGCAAAAAACCTGTAAAATGTTTTCAACATTAAAAATAAAACATTTCAAAATAATTTTTTACTTTATAAACATGAGCATAATTATAAAGGTAAAATTGAATGCATTCAATTATAAATGTAAAATTTAATGCATTGAATTATAAAGGTAAAATTGAATGCATTGAATTATAAAGGTAAAATTGAATGCATTAAATTATAAAGGTAAAATTGAATGCATTCAATTATAAAGGTAAAATTGAATGCATTCAATTATAAAGGTAAAATTGAATGCATTCAATTATAAAGGTAAAATTGAATGTATTCAATTATAAAGGTAAAATTGAATGCATTGAATTATAAAGGTAAAATGCAAACAACATGCAGCCTTTTGTTCTGTTGTAATGGAATTACTAAAAAGAAAATGGTGCATCAAAATCAGAGAATAGTATTTATAAACAAGTAATGCACAAACAACTTGAAAGACAGTATTTTGATAGTCTAAATGCAAAAATTAAACAAAGGAGTAGATATGTTAAAAATAATTGATGGCAAACCAAGGCTAAGACATTAAAAAAATCATTGTAATCAAAAAATCATTTTTTTTTAATTTCAATTCACTTACTAATTTATTTTTCTAAATTTAACATAAGTCAGCTAATTTAATAACAGTAAGCAAATTTAACAATAGTTGGAGAATATAACAGTAGTCTATAAATTTTATTAAAATTACAAGTTTTTCCATAACATATAATTTTATTTAAATCAAGTATAGAGAGGTAGAATTAAAGAATGACTTGAAATTACTTGAATTGAAAAAATTGTGTAGACTATTAACTGGTTAAATGAAAAACTCTCACAAGGCAATAGTATGTTATCTTTAATACAACACTATGTTCTTCACATACTCTGATATCATTTTATTATTCCAAAAAAAAATTTTTTTTTGATTTTTTTTCATTTTAAATTTTCTGTGTACCCCTGCCAAAAAAAGTAGTAAACTTTTTAAAATAGAAAAACTAGTATTATTTCATACATGGATGAAATAAAGAGTTACATGAAATAAAGAGTTACAAGAATTACAAAAATGGACTATTAATTATTTTACAAAGTTAAAAATAGTAATTATAAAATTTTCATTGTCACAAACATAAATGATAAGTATTATTTAAGATATTTCCATTTTACTTCTTGATTGGCATCTTTTATTGCAATTTGCATTGCTTTTATCCATGTATCATTGGAGGAGTGATTAATTTTGAGCTACCTTTTTACTACAGTAACGGGATCCCACTCTTTCAAAGATAGACCAATTAGATTATTAGTCATTATATTTGATATGTTAGACACAGTTAAGCTATTTCTCTTATCTGAGCATATCGTTTTTGAGAAGCCTCTTCCTGCTTCTTATAACAATGGCTGTGACCATATTTTTAGTTTTTTGAACACTGTCAGGAATTGCATAATTCTGAGAATTTTTCAAAACTTTTCCACAAAATCTCTATAGCAAGTTATATCAATTTGGTACATAAAAATCTCAGTAAATGTTGGCAATTGTTCTTAAGCTGCTTTCCAAGGAACAAAAAACTACTGCAATATTCAAGCGATTTGGCTCCAAAATATTGAGAAATTGTAATTTACATGGTCTTTTAAATTTGGTTACATTCTGCTTTTTAATGATCACAGTACAGTGGGCCAAACAGCTGTTTTCACAGGCATTGGTTCTTAAATTTTGAACAGAAAATGCTATGGGGTTGATTAAAGACTTTTTGGAAAGGTTTTTATGTGTAAATTTTGGGAAAATTAAAAAATAATTTTGCTGCAGGATATTTTGGTCATAACTTAAAAGAACAAAATGTTGAAAATTTCATAAAATTTTCTTTTTTATAGGTTATAACAAAAATACATATAAATGTTTAATATATGTATGTATATTTTTGTAATACAAAGATAACATAGGTACATCAATGGCAAATACAATAAAAATTATTAAAAAAAGTGCTGAAGTACATAACTTATTTATATGTTAACATTTTAAAATATGTGTCATCTTCAGATAAAATGTTATTAGAGACATTTTGTTTATGAGAATATTTATCAGAATGTCCTCATTCATTCCAAAATTTACAGAATGGTTTTGACTTGTATCTTTTGTCAAAAAAAATTTGATCAGATGATATCCACATTTAGTTAATGGTGTCTGTTAAATTGACAATTTAAGAGTTTTTTCTTGAGAGTCTAGTATGTATCAAACTTAATATTTTGTTTTTGCCTTTTAACCCCAAATCATAAAGATTTACCAAACCACTTTCCTCATTATTCAAAATTAGCTCCCAAGAATGATCAATCAGTTTGTGAAGTGGTGGTGTTATATTGTCCAGGTAAATTTATTTTAATTTTAACAGGTGGAAACTGGTTAAATAGGAATAAATAAAAATCTGTACAATTGTTTTATATTGGTACACCTAAATTTTTTTTTTTGAGGAAAATACTCAAAGAACTACTGATAATACCAATCAAATGTTGCATGACATTAAACAGGGAATTGTGTAATAATTAAACCCGTTGTTGTTCTTCTTTTTTCAATTGTATTAGGGTAGTCCCATTTTATACCTGTTTTTTTAAATATCTCTGTTTGTAATGAAGTCTCAAATAATTTCTGATTGTTTCAGAAATCTATTTGAAGCACTGAAAAGGGACTCAGACCAATCAAAACACCAGTTTTCACATGTACAACAGTTTTCATGAAATGGTCAAATGTACCCAGTAAAGCATGAAAACCCTATAAAAATATCAGTAACTTTTAAATGTAGTAATTTTTAATATCAAGTATGTTTACGTATTAAAAATATAGAATAATATGAACACTATTTCAAGATACCAATTTACTTGTATTGGCTTTACACCACAAGCTGGAATCGGTTTGAATGTTTGTCCCGCCCTTGTGATATTATCGGGTGTTTTTATTTAAGTTAGTTAAATATTTCATTCATAGTTATAGTGTCTTGACTGATTAAAAAACCATTTTCAATTTTTTCAATATTCAAACACTGATCTTTTGAGCATGTGCACAGATCACAATATGTACCGCCAACTCCTGGAAAAGATTTACTGCTTTCATACCCATCGTATATGACTACACTATCACCTTTAATTGTTATCCCTCTTTATACATAAGAAAACCTTTATTCTTTAACACTTCTATGTCAGGATTAAAGACAAATAATGATTGAAAAGTTTCTGTTGATTCTTTTCCCATTTGAAGACTCAGCAATTTATGACTCAGTAGGGACATTTTGTGAATTTTGCAGCAATATTAACAAACCAGCTTCTTTTTCAAGTAAAAATGGACAAATGTCAGTATGACATTGCAAGTGTTAACATCTTATCTTTTTAACTAAATATTGCATGGCTTCCACTTCCATCAAATCCAAACTTTATTTTCATTAGTATATTTTCAATGTTTCTATCTAATAAAATGTTCTCCAATATCCTTTGCATCATCAGTTTAATAATTATTGTTACTTCAGATAGTTTTCTTCTGAGATGTTATCAACTAGGCAGTATATTAAAACCAGCAATTAAAAGAGTGCTTTTTTTTGGAGTTTGTATATGAATGCCTTTTAAGAGCACATACTCTTTAAACATTGTTTCTTTTTGAAACTTATTGAAAAAGTTATTCTTTAACATACTCTTCAAGCTTGGTTTCCTTACCAGCCTTAAATTGCATGTTAGCATAACCCATTTTTTTAAGTTTGTTTTTCTTTAGATACAGATCTTTGTCAGCTATTCTGAACTAATGTTTTTTGTACAAATGTCAATTCATTGGAGCCAATTGTCTTAACAATTATCAGTATACAACCTGTTATATTTGCAGAATTAATTTTTAGCTGTTTATTTTCCTCACCAATAAAAAATTCAAATAAGTCAAATTCAGTGAAACTAAAGATATAAATATTTTTGTTGATTCATTATCTAATAACTTTTTAAACAAAATGATTTAAATATAAAATAGTATAATTTAAAATATAAACAAGTTTAGGTGATAAGTGAAAATATTACATTATTACTATATACACCACACAGCCCTCAGTTTTGATTTTAACTTTTGCAATTCGTTCATTTTAAAACAGATTTTAATGCTGGAATATTTTTTATAAATGGTTGTACTAACTAGATTAAATTTGGTTAAAAAAAAAGTTCAATGGAAAAGAGAGCTAGAGGGGATGGAGATGTAGTCAAAAATTGGTCTTAATCTTTTTTTTAATTTCTAAACATACACTTTTACTGAACACATCTTCCCCTTATAAAAATATGTACAAAATAATGTAAAACTATTTGCATTAATATTTTTAAATATATTTTACTAAAATTTCAACTAAAGGAGTAGGGTTATTCTTATTATTATTTCCTTTATAAATAAATACAATATCTAGGTATTTATGAGTTCTTACAAAAACCCGCAAAAAATTTCTTTAGCCGTATCGACTTTGGGTAAAAAATTTGCAGCTTATGCGATTTCCTAATATTTCTTCTACTTTTTTTGTTTAAAAGTGCTAAGTTGACACAATTTAGTTAAAAAGTTTTAGTCAAAATTTTGCTAAATTTTAGTTGTTTCATTAGGTAAAACATGTAAATAAAATTTTGTGCAATAATCTATGAAGTTAACATTCACATTTCCATAAACTGCAATCTAAGAATTCTACATTCAATTATCACATTAGTATTGTTTATATAGTGACATTTTTTCTTATACAATGCCAAAAATGGCTCTTATGTATCCTTTATACCTATTACCTATCTTTCATTTATACCTATTACCTATCTTTCATTTATACCTATTACCTATCTTTCATTTATACCTATTACCTATCTTTCATTTATACCTATTACCTATCTTTCATTTATACCTATTACCTATCTTTCATTTATACCTATTACCTATCTTTCATTTATACCTATTACCTATCTTTCATTTATACCTATTACCTATCTTTCATTTATACCTATTACCTATCTTTCATTTATACCTAT